ATGGAAAAGCTTTTCCTTATATCCAGACAGAACCTCTTTGTTATTTCAGTTTATGATTGTTGTTTCTCATCCTCCTGTCATGTGCCACTGAAGAGGCTGGCTCTGTCTTCTTGAGAAACTTCCTGTGCATGCTGGAAGGTATCATTTGGTTTATGTTCCATGCACAGCCCTTTACTCTCTCTGCCCCACTGAGTACATTCCTCCTGTAGGAGAAAGGGTCAAAGTTTGCAAGCTGAACTTGCCAGCTGCCAGCAGTGTAAACTTTCTTTTAGCTGGAATCTGATCATGGACTTCTGAAGTTCAAGATAACAGAGACACTGACTCAAAGCATCAAAATACACTACCCTCTTAATCTGGTAGTCAGATAGCTGCTGAGGCTGTGAGTTCTGAGGGACTGTGCAACTGGCAGAGTCAGGAGGAAACCACTGATTTGCAATTGTGTTTGAGCATTCCCAGTTACCATTTCTCCTCCAAGAGCTGCTTTTACCACAAACTAAACCCCTCTGAACTCTCCAGCCACAAGTTCACCCTTCAGTCAAACAGCAGGTCAAGCAGCACGACAGTGGCATATCTTTCTTACAGCAGATATTAACCTTTGGGGAATGGTTGATGAGCAGCTACAACCTACAATTTACAAACCCTGGCATTTTTGTGTATATTGTATATTTTTATATATTGTTGGTATTGCCAATTGGCTGCATAGCATAACTATGCATTCAGCACAGAAACGCAAGCTTGTTTTGCATTGAACATATGCATCCTTGCCATTTTTGAAGCTTTTCTAGTCTATGAGGGATATCTATAGAAATATATATATATATGGTGGGTTTTATCTAAGTAGAATATATAGCAAGTTCTGCTAGCTTCAGCTGAACTTCACTCTTGTTTTCACTCTCAACACAAGCAATTCTCACCCCTCCTGAGCTCAATATGAGGCCCATGCAGTAACTGTTTTCTTGCTAGTTTTAAAAATTTGAAGAAGTACTGTCTATTTAATGGTAAGCACTATTAGGTGCTATTAAGTAATTATTAATATCAATCAATATTAATTAATTTATATTAAGTAATAATATTAAGAAGAAGTATTGTGTATTGTATGGTTTGTTTTGGTTTAGACCTTTTTTTGCAGTTTTGTCACCTGGTCTAAGGTAAGAAGTCCCTTTTCTAAGTAGACTTATAGGGTTTTTTTTTTTGCATAGTTTTTGTGACTAAGGATTGGTTTTATCTCTCATCAGCCTCAAGTCTTAACTTTGATTAAACTTAGACTAAAATGGGCATTTTCAATATTGGAGGAAATACCCAGCTATTATCAGAGAAGCAGTCATGGCAGTATCTCACTGGTAATATCTTAGTTCTTGCAGGAAAAGCTCCATGTAAATCAATAAGGTGACAAATGGATGTTGCTTTAATTTGGCTGGGAAGCAACTCAAAGAGAGATGAGTCTTATGAGAGACTGATTGTCTTAACAGCTCTGAGCTCTCTCCATGGCTGCTGAGATGTTCAATAACAGCTGAGAGTGAGATGAGGTTTGTCTTGGAGCAGCTTTTTCCACCTCCTCACAGATGTGATTTGCATTCCAGGCATGCTGTACTTCAGATCTCACAGTGTCAGGCTCATTTGGCTCTTGCTCCAGCTATTCCAAGGAGCATTTGTCAGACATGATACTGCAACTTTGGCTTTGTGATTTAGTAATGCGGCCATGTCCCAGGACTCAGGAAACCGTGAACATGCAGGATAGATACAGCATTCCTTATGATGCATATATTGTAAGTGTTAGAACCAGCAAAGGGCAGAAATAAAGGGGGTACAAAAACAAAAAAAGAAGGGAAAAAGAAACAAATGTTAAAGAGGACCCCATCTTCCAGCCCAGGCACTGAGGGATGTGGAAGCTGGTATAGAGGAGGCACTGTCACCAAGTCAAAACTTACATTTTGCCTGGGTGAGTGGTATTTGTATAGCCTTTATATGCTGTTTTTCTCCTTTCTCCACAAGAACTATGTCGATGAGATAGCTCAGGGATAATCTGGAACATATCAGCAGGGAATTTTAAAAATTTATGTATAAAATAAATATGATCCAACAAAAATTCTTGTGTAGTAATGTCACTCCTTACACTGGCCTCCAGAGTGTAGCAAGCTGATTCATAGAATAGAACACAATAATTTGGGTTGAAGGGCACCACCAAAGGTCATACAGTCAAACCTCCCCTGCACTGGTCAGGGACATCTTCAACTAATCTGGTTGCTCAGAGCCATGCCCAGCCTGGCGTTGAGTGTCTCCAGGGATGGGGCATCCACCACCTCCATGGGCAACCTGTGCCAGTGGTTTACCACCCTCATTATGAAATATCTCTACCTTGTATCGTCTGAATCTACCTTCTTTTAGTTTAAAACCATTACCTCTTGTCTTACTGCAGCAGGGCCTACTAAAAAGTCTACCCCTTTAGGTACTGAAAGCTGCTCTAAGGTCTCCCCAGAGACCTCCTCTTCCCCTTCCTCTTCCTCTTCCCCTTCCTCTTCCTCTTCCTCTTCCTCTTCCTCTTCCTCTTCCTCTTCTCCAGATGAACAAGACCAGCTCTCTCAGCCTGTCTTCATAGGAGAGCTTCTCCAGCCCTCTAATCATCTTTGTGGCCTCTTCTGGACTCACTTCAACACATCCATGGAAGAAGCACTAAGTAGTCCCTTATTAAGCTAAAAGAGAAGAATAAATGTTTCAAGAATTTAGGACTGGAAAGAATACAGGAATTCCAATTTATGAAAACACAAGGCTTCACAATGTGGCTTTATTCAACACTGGAGTAGGACTATAGCCATTTGTGAGAAGGAGACCAACCTGCTTTAAAACAGTAGCAGAGTTGCTAGGTAATCTGATCAAGCAATACATAGGTGAAGTTCATTGCTTTTATATGCTTGATGAAGAGCATGGACTTGAATATGACAGGATGAGTCTGCAGAACTGATTTATGAAGACTGTCACTTTCTTTCCCAGTGAATAATTCACTTGTTTATAAGCCCCCAAAATCAGCCCAGATCAGCCAGTAACTTGAGCACCTCAACCTAGTTAGAATAAGTGTCTTTTTACAGGGACTTCACTTTCTGATTGTAATGTTTTAACTCTGTGGCTCTTCCAAATAGCAGACTTCTCTGCCATTGGTATCAAACTCCCACTCTTGCTCTGGTGCGTGTGAGCCACCAGACAGCCAAGGAAACACGAAGAAACTGCTTCAACATTGCCATCAATGCATGGATCAGTCCAGGGCACCCCAGATCTCTGTTCTTTTTCACACACTCAGTGCTGCCAGCTCCAAACTTTACAAAAATGATAGTTATTGTCATCAGCCTAAGACAGGATCCAAAAGCACAAAATTAAGAATAGGTCTGGCACCAGAGCAGGGCAGGCCTGGTATAAACGCTTTCCTGTGTTGGTTTGCTTTGGCTAGAGGTCTTGGGCACTCCACAAGCTCACAAATGGCACTGGGTATTCATCTGTTAGGAACCGAACACTCTCTGCAGAATAATTCACGTGTTTAAAGTTAGGTGCTTAGTGCACTTTAGATATCCTATGGTGTCTGTCCTCATCACAGGAGCCCTCCTATATATTGCAGCTCTGTGGCAGAGGAGTCAGGAGTGAAGTAAAGCTGGAGAAAAAAGGGTGAGGTGTAGGAGAAGATGTTTTAATTTTTGTCTTTGTTTCTCGCTACCCAAGTCTGTTTTAATTTGTAATAAATTAAACTATTTTCCCCTAATTATAGTCTGGTTTGCCTATGATGGTGGTTGGCAAGTGATGTCCCTGCCTTTACCTCAATCCATGAGCTTTTTCATCTTATTTCCTGCCTCTGTCCCGTCGTGGAGTGCATGTGATTCAAGGCATACTGTGTGTTGTACTTGCATTTAAATGGAATATAATATGCTCCACCAATGGTCCATGCACGAATTGTAAGAACATGCCAGAGCTAATAACTGGTAGTACTAAGACTGTATTTTAAGTGGTAAAAGGCTCTTGGTTGCTGCTGTTGTTCAACCTCAGCACCGTGGATGCCCTTATCACTTTAAAAAACCACAGGCACAGAAATAAACCTATTTCATACTTTCTCACTGTTGCTATTCTTACCTTCTTCCTCCACTGATGTTATCATCATGTGAGGTCTAATTTAGATAGCAATCTCCAAAAGCCCTGTCACTTTACCGTCTATTATATGCCAGTCCTACACCTGTAGTGCTATATAAATGTTAATAATACATCAATATGCTCATTCTTTAGGAGGTCTGTAGGTGGAATTCCATCTGGTTTGTAGATGTCAAGTGAGTTGTTGGTGTGAAAAGTCCTTGCTGTTCAGAATTTGTGATGGCTTATGAGCAGCTGGGAAATGACAGAAACTGGACGTATTTATCATCTGAATGTGGACATCCAGCTGTATGCTTAAGACTCTGGCTGTGACTGGTGCTGAGCACCCAAGTGGTGTAGTTCTTCGCTAGTCTCTAAAAAGCCCTTACTGAAGTAATTAGGACACCAGCAGGGAGTGATGTGCAGGGCTGAGCTAAACTTGTACAAAGTACAATGATTCTATGAAAATATCTTGACTCTTCCCTGGGCTGCACTTGTGCCCTTTGCTATGAGATACTGATAGATTTAGCTGAATTAGACTAGGAAAACGTGATCCTAAGAACCTTGTAATACAAAGCATAAAAGGCTGGAGAATACAGGATAAAATCTTGCAGCTTTTCCCATCTGTAAATTGAATATGTCTGAAATTGTCCTCATTTCCTAATCCAAATTGTATTCTGAGCTGCACTACGTATTCATCACTTGCCAAGGATTAATGTAACCATGGATTACAAAGGGGAGCAATTCAGTGCTTCCTTGGTAAAGAGAAAAAAAGTTTTCTATTCCTCCGTTTAATTTCCTGGCTGCTTTCACTGGAACAAATACTGATTGTCATTAAGCCTGCAACAGGAACTTTCAAAACCAGAAAATCTTGATAATAGGAATTAGCCTTTAAAATAGTACTTTTGCATTGCTTGCTGCACAGTCTAGATGCATATCAGATACACAGACACACACAAGCTCTCTTGTGGGGCAAGACTAAGAAACTCAAGTGTTTCTTGCACTCAGAAACACCATAACATCATCATTCAATGATTTAGGCAGGTTAGGCAGAACGAGAGCTGAGAAACACAGAAGCCTGGGGCAGCCTTGGGGCTGAGGGCAGGAAGAGGAGGAGGAAAAGGAGGAGGAGGAAGGCTGCTGCTTGCCTGCCCTCCTCTCAGCCTGCAAAGCAGCGGTCCACCGGAGCCCATATGCCCAGAAGCAAGGCATGGACCCTATGCACATGGCTCAGCTGCCCTGGGCTGCTGGGCTGTTTCTTGCTGGGGTTTCTTGCGGGTGAGTACAAAGACATAGGGGCTCAGCCTGCAGCCATTGCCCTCTAATAGATACTTACATGCAACGTGATTAACCTCTGTCAGGGAGCTTTTACTGCTTGTTAGGGATGTTGTAAAATACTCATCATGCTGTTTTCTAAGAGGTAATCCTCTCGAGCAGTTTGGGCTTTAGGAGTGAGGAGTATACTGGCTGTGTGCTTCAGCCCAAGACGAAGCCTGGTAAACTGACAACTTCCCATAATGGGCAGTCAGACATTCAAAGAGGAGATTGATGGAAGAATTTGAGGCTTGTGTGACAGCAAAACTTCCAGGGTTTTCTTTTTAAATTTGTATTTCCTGTTTTTCTACTGAAGATCTATTTAAATGCTCTTATTCTGTTGCTATTTTAGCAGCAGAAGAGGAGGAGTTTTGACTGACAGCCAAGAGCGGAGTTGCTGAAGCTGTCACCATGTACAATGAACTTTACTAGCACATTAGACTCTTTTCTGCAGTCACTTTCAGCATCTGATTTTAAGTCTGCATCTGTCCTTTTTAAACTTGTGTTGTAGCACACACCTAAGGCTAAAGCATGAAATAAAAATCCATAAGGTCTAATAAGTATAAAAAAAAACATTAGTTTGACTTAGTAGGTCCCTGAGCTGCAAATTTCTGATGCTTGTGCTATTCTTATACATTTCCCTGAACATCATCTTCTAGCCAAGCTGCAAAACAGGATACTAAGCGAGATGGACCTTTGGTCTGATCCAGTATCACTGCTATGTTCAGAGTGTTGCTACAATTGCATTTAAGCCTAACGGGTAATACCTGTTGTGCACACTTGGGTTTATGATGATGATTTTTCCAGTTTGAGATTTTCTAGCTATAAGAATAACTTGATTTGTTCGGTTTTCTTAAAAGAGAAATTAATAAGTTGAGATACTCTCTCCTTTAAGATCTAGGGCTACTGAAAAATGATTAACTTCTTAAAAACGACCTGGGTCACAGTTAACTTTATTCCTCTAATTATTAAATAGACTAACCCCACCTTTCCTCAAACCTGTAACTGTTATAATGCTGTCAGATGGCTGTTGAGTCCTAGACACATATTTTTATACATATGTATATATTTAAAGATGGGAATTTCATTATGAGTGCCAGGAGTTCAGTCCTCACACTATGAGCAGTTAACTGAGAATCTGTATAGTTTAGAATTAATGACAGATTAATCTGCCTTAAAAAGGGAACACATTTACCAGAGATACAGGGTGTGCTCTTTTAATTAGGTCACTGTTCTTGCAATTCCATCAATGAAGTGTGTTTTGCTTTTCTGCTTCACTTCTCTGTTTGAGCCAGCAAACACTGGCAGAGGGTGCTCTAAGCCCTGTGCATACGGAGACTGTTCAGTACTTCAGGTAGCACATGGACTCAGCTACATGAGGGCTGGGGGTTCTTGCTAAGCAGGAAGCTTTTCAAATGTGTTTCAGGATGGTTCACAAAACCAACAGAAAAAAGCCCCAACTCTTCAGATGCCCATCAAAACATGAGAAAGAAGCTTGTGGCTGAAATGAAAGTAGAAAACATCAAGCAATTCCTTCGGTAAGCCCTGTGCGCCTTGAGTTTTGAATAGCTTTAGCAGTCACAAAAGCCAGAAAGTGATAGTATCAGCTCCAAGGAAGAGCCTCTGAAAGCAGAGTGCTTTGGAAGTATTTGGTTTGTACAGAATGTCTGGGGAAAGGAGAAGTGACAGACTTACAACCCTTTTGCTCCCCCCATTTTTGAAGGTACCTTGTTGTACTGTTCACTGTTCTCCCCTCGAGCTGCACAACTGCCAGTGCTTATCTTCTGTTTTTACTGTTTTTCCATAGTCTTGATTTAATGCAGTACATGTCTGGTTTTAACCCACAAGTGTCTGAAGCTTTAACATGAGATAATTACTTTCTCTCAGACTGAGGTGATTTTACTGTATTTGGGGAACACTGTTTCCTATTAATACATTTGATTGATAGTCTCTCCAGTATCACCCTAAATCTTAAGTTTGAGCAGCTAAGTCTAAGTAGAAAATTACTATATTAGATATGAAGCATAAAAATTGTTTCAAAGTTTGCATGGAGCTGAGTTGGAGGTATGCATACACCTAATAATTCTTTTAGCGTGTCCATATTGGATGATGTGCTGTAATTGGGTGCTCAAGATCCCAGTATACCCTGTCTTCTACAGAGGGAAAAACATATTCACACAAAAAGTAAGCAAATGCAATCTCTGGTGAGTAATATATTGGTATGCAGCATGTAAGTCAGCAGCTGTATCATAAACATCACAGAATTTACTGACAAATTTGATTGATGTCCATTTAGTCTAAACCCAGAAGGTTTAATTTCTAACAGCAATTAACTTTTCAACTCTATAAGCCTTATTTTGTATTTGTTGCTCTCAGTAGGTTGGAGAATTATGTTTGAGTGACAGTCTAGGCAACATAGAGATTGATGACAGCATGAAATAGCTCTGCAATTATGCTAAAGTTTCTTGGCCATAGGGTATTAATGCTATCTGGTGTTTCTGCTTGCTTTGACACTGGGCCAAATGCTTCATATTCTGGAATTTTTATCCTAAATTCAAATAAAAAGCAGGAATTGCAGAAAAATTATATTAATACATTATCAAAAAATTTTTTTTAAAAGCACAAAAAATGAACTTGAAGTATTTTGATCCATATTCTTAGTTTTTCAGGTTACTAAATCTGCTTTTATCAAGTGAGGAAAACAAATTATGAGTCTCGGATAATGCAGACACATTGGCGTTAGCATTGAATCATAGGTTGGGAAAGGATGAAACTGTTTGGAAGTGAAAAATGGAACAAAGGGATCATGTGGTGTTCAGCATATTTTTCCTGATGCATATGTAGTATTTAAACTGGAGTACTTCAGGAATTAAAAGGTGCTTAAAATATTCTAGTGACTTGAAGTGCAAAAAGTAGACAAGCAATGAGCTTTGGCAAGGACATAACTGCAGAGATTAAAGAGAGAGAAAGACAACAGCAGAGCAGAAGGTGGTGGTCTGCTTAGAGAATCTAGATGCACTCAAATGCAGGGGACGGGGGGAAAAGACCTGGGTGTCTGGTCCAAGACTGCTGTGTGTGAGAGGTTCTGGTGATTAAAGAGATCCCCGGTAGCTGAGAAAGGCTCATGTTGTGCTCCTCTTTCAGCAAGGCAAGAAAGACAACCTGGGGCTGGTCAGCTTCTTTTCAGTCCCTGGAGGGGTGACCAAACATCCTTCTGGAATCTGTTTCCAATGCATGAAAGACACAAGGATAGTTAGGAACAGGCAGCACTTATTTGCTATTTGTTTATGTGATCAGCATGATCAGCTGTAAGGAAATGTCTGGCCATATGGATGAGCGGAGACCTTGCAGTGGCTGTGGCATCCTGAGCTGGATCAAGGCTTTGGACATGTCTCTTGCAACATTCTCATTTGGAAGCTGAGGAAGTGCAAACTGAAGAACAAGCTGCTACATAGGTTGAAAATAGATAGGTTGAGGTACTAATCATGGTATTTGGTACCATGTACTTAATGATGGTACCAAGGTAATTAATGATAGCTAACATCCCTGGGGCATCCATTAGCAAGTAGCCTGATGGAAATTCAAAGGTGATGCTTAGTACCTGGCTGACTGATGGGTGTTCATTACAACTCCTGTGCAGTGAGCGAAACAGATTGCAGACAGATTTCTGTCGGGCAGCCCAGAGGCGCTGAGTATTGTTTCTGACTATTTGTCACCATCATGTGTTATAGCTGATCTGGATGTAAACGTTGTTGAGAAGGCTTTTATTAGTTAGGCTTTTGGTTGAGATGGAAAAAAAGAACAAATCTGTGGAGGTAATTTGACATAATAATTTTCAAGTTAAACTTATTAGTGCATGTTATGCCAGCAATGTACAATCATGTTATCCCATACCCGACTTATTTGGAAGGCTCCTTTCTGAATATTTAGCTTTCCTGTATCTTTTTCTGCTCCTTGCATACTGTTCATATTCTTTGCTGACTGTCCTTGACACTGATTTTCAATGCTTGTGTGGATGTGGTTATTTCTGTTACGCAGAGAAGGCTTCATCTGACTTACCTGAAGGCCTCAGGGATAAACCTATGCTCTGACTACATTTTGTGCTGATGTTAATGCAGACTCTGATAAACAATCATGTTCTACAGCTCAGACTTCAACTAGGAGACCTTAACTGTTTATTCATGTGGCTTGAAGATAAGCTTTATGCATGGTGATCACAGTTCACTATTGTGCCTCTTTGCATTTGCTGCTTACTAGCAATTTTCTGTTTTATTCTAGCTCCTTTACCAAGCTGCCTCACCTCGCAGGAACCGAACAGAATCTTCTTCTTGCCAAACAAATTCAAGGCCAGTGGAAAGAATTTGGCCTGGATTCAGCAGAACTCGTTCATTATGATGTGCTTCTTTCATACCCAAATGAAAGCCAGCCAAACTACATCTCAGTAATTGATGATCAAGGGAATGAGGTGATGTTTTTAATGATTGAACTATATTTATAAGACTTCTTTAAAGAAACAGTGTCCTCTTCTCCCAGGTACTCATTCCAGCATGTGCTTTATAGTATGATAATAATATAATATGACAAAAAATCCAGTGCAAAGGAAACTCATATGTAGAAATGGTTTTCCAGATCGTGCAGCAGGACAGCAAAGTGGCTGAAGTCTCAGTGCTGAAGTTAGAGAGTGGATGTGCAATTAACACCAATAAACCATAAGGTGCAAAAATGTCCACACTAGTTCAGCATAAGCATACTTCTAGGCCAATATCCTGTTTCTATACACAGACTTAAGTGGATGCATAGGCAAGTTTAAGAACAAGAAAATGCATTTAAGGCATGCAATTCTTCCAGCGTGGGGCTGTTTTCTGCTCAGGGGTTCTCTGAGCCTGATGCAATTAGTCTCTCATTAGACCTGTTTTCCAAGTGTTTAATCAGTTAGTATCCCTTGTTAGACCTCTCTTCCAAGTACATATCCAAACCCTGCTTGAACAATTCTTGCTTCCACTGCATGCTGAGGTAAGGAATCTTACATTTTATACACAAAATACATTTTTTTAATTTATATTTTTATATTACTTTTTATTTATTACAAAATATACATTTTAGTGCAATAATATAAAGATACTATCCATTGTACAAAGTACTGCCTTGTTCCATTTGCTCTGAACCTGATCCTTCTGGCTTCCTAAAGTATCTCCTAAGTTCATGTTGGAAGCAATAACAAACAGCCAGTCCTATAGTCACCCTCTCCATTTTGTACACACAAGGAATACAGCAGATGTAAAATCTGACAAGGATCCTGAGCAAGGAGAGGAGATGGACTGCTAGAGAAGCATCATGGCTCATAGGTAGGGGTGAAGAGCCCTGGCTGTAACTAAGGAATGGTCCCGCTTGGGTGTGATGTGAATTTAAAGGGTGAAATAATAGAGAAGTTCCTCCAGGATAACAGTCTCTCAGCTATAATCTCACAAGGTGACAAAGAATGGACATGAACCTCGAGGCAGCAAGGCATGTTACAACGAATAGTAAGAAAAGGCAGCACATTTAACAGAAGCGTAACTAGCAAAGAGGTGAATAGTAATAATGATGAGAGTAATCACAAAATATATCATGAAGGCATGGATGAGCTAAGTGTCATTTTCTTGTCACCACCTCTTGGCAGTTTCCAGCTGCCTCTTTGCTTAGGTTCAGGCAGTGACTGATGAGCATCTTCTGACAAGTGATCTATCCCCCTGTATTCATATTTGCATTCTGTTATGAAAGTTCAGCTATGTATCCCTACCTGGTTTTATGTTTGAACTTAGGTGTGCTAGCTGGATTTGTGTTTTTTGTGAGCGATTTATGGCAACTAGCATGCCATTTGCAATAACCAAGCTTAGTGTACAAACTTGTGCCTGGAGGTAGAGTGTTTGACCAAAGACTTCCATTCTTTATTGATAGGTTTTCAATACATCATTGTTTGAACCACCTCCACATGGGTATGAAAATGTTACTGATATACTACCACCATATAATGCTTTTTCAGCACAAGGAATGCCAGAGGTAAGAAAAAAAGCTATGTAAGAGTATTACCGGTTGAAGTATTTTGTGAAATGCTGGGATAGGTGGCTCCAACTTCTCAAGATGTTTGTTGTAGTTTTAATTAGCCATTAGTATAAGAGAACACTTCAGGACAGCTAGGGCACATATTGTGCTAAGGTTAGAAGTATCCTATTACTAAAAAAAGCTTTCTCAAATTGCTAGAACTCTGAATCACAAAGGTGAAAAGCTTTTATCTTTATAGAAAATGTTGGATACATCTCAGATTGCTCCACATTACTCAATGATACGTAGAGGACTTGGGAAAGTCTTGCATAGAAATAGAAACATATAAATCCATTTGGAAGATATTTTGGATTAAATGAATGTCTTCAAAGGCTACAGAAGTCCCTCACTTAATCAGATAATTCATTATGGAGGAACCTGTCAGGGACAGAATTGCATAAATGAATAAAATTATATAATAGTGTTTGTGTACGCAAAGAATGCCACTATTTTTTCACAGCCCAGAAGTTTGTCAGTTTAGCAAAGTACATTGGTTTAGTTTCCAGCCTCATTTTATAGAGCTGCTGTGAAATACAGGTTAATATAGAAAAGTGAGGAGTTGGAGCCAAAGTTTCCTATAGATTACAGGTATCTTTTGCTATTGTTTTTATGGGCATTAGATCTCATTTATCGAAATGTAAAAAAGCCACCAAAACCCCCACTATATGGTACCTAGTAGATAAAAGTGTATTCCTGAAAACAGATATTTTGTCTGTTGAATGACCAGTTGTCATGCAACTGCTTTCCTTTCCTGTGCAGGCAGATCTGGTTTATGTGAATTATGGTCGTACTGAAGACTTTTTTAAGCTGGAGCGTGAAATGGGAATTAACTGTACAGGAAAGATTGTCATTGCCAGATACGGGAAGATCTTCAGAGGGAACAAAGTAAGGGTTGTGCTTTATTTTTCCCTCTCTGGGTCAGACACTGCTCATGGTAGAGCCGGTGGGAGTTAATGGGAGCTCTAAGTTGGAACACAGGAGCAGAAGGAAGCCTGCAATGCACCCATCATGACTGCATTCTAAGAATAACTTCCAACACAATAAAAGCAGCTGAATGTATTAATCTCCTGTGACTGAGATGACTGCAAACTCCTTAGGCAGATCTTGCAAGAGATTAGTTTAGGGAACTAAGTAAGTAAAGTAGTGTACAGAGCCAAGGCTTTGAATACTTTTCATCCATAGAACTGCAGTATTTTGAAGAAATAAGTGTTTGTCAAGGAGTCAGATGCACAGAGATTAAATAACTAATTCTTCCAACTTCAGATGACAACTCTGACACAACTGCTGACAGTGGGACAGTGGGGATAGTGGTCAGGTTTTGTGCCCCAGTTTATGTCCTGTGCTTAATTTTATAGCCTGGAGCTGTGACTGAAGATGTGACACAAATAACGAAATACTGTGTTTTGTTCTTCTGATGGGTCTGTGCTCATTTTCACTCTTCCACATATACAACTTGTAAAGCTACATCCCCATGGGAATAAATTGGCACATTCGGATTTATTACTGCATTAAAAGGAAATAATTTCACAGGTTAAAAATGCCATATTAGCAGGAGCCCAAGGGGTCATACTTTATTCAGACCCTGCTGACTACTGTGCCCCAGGAGTAGAGGCTTATCCAGATGGCTGGAACCTTCCAGGTGGAGGAGCCCAGCGTGGGAATGTGTTAAACCTGAATGGAGCTGGGGACCCTTTAACACCAGGTTATCCTGCAAAAGGTGAGTGAAAGATCTGTACCCTGGGCCACCACTTTATAAACTGGTGCTGAAAGTTATTGTGGCACAAGAAATTCAGCTATTTTCATAACCATGTCATTTCAACTGGTTGCTTTTGAGTTAGGCAGGAAAAGTAAGTTTTAAAGAAAATCTCTTTGTATGATCCAAGCCTTGTAACTTGTAGAAAAGCAGGACATGTGGGTTTATAGACTGAAGTAACAGAAAATGGCTGAGAATTTATAGCCATTTTTAAATATCTGTATTTCTCAAGAGGATTCATTTAAACTATATTACAGTCTACCATCAAAGAAGAGTAATAGCTTTGCTTGGAGGTATGTTTCCTTGATGATCCTAAATTCCAAGCAGGAAAACAGTTTGAAATCTTCTTTACAGGGAGTATTATTCCTGTGGTAAAAATAACAGTAGCCTGGAGTCTTTCAAATCTTGGCATCATGTGCTTCTTTTCTCCTTGTAGGCATCCTGAATTCAGGCTGAACTAAGATGCCCACCAGTCCTGCCTGCTGATGGGATGGGAATACAGGGGTGCTTCTGGAAAGCTCAATGGCTCCTGTGACCATTGTTTAAACCCATTAGCCCCTTGTCTATCAATACAGTCCCTAATGAAGAGTCCCTCTCCAGCATCCCTATAGGCCCCTTCAGATACTGGAAGGCTGCTATGAGGTCTCCACGCAGCCTTCTCTTCTCCAGGCTGAACAACTTTCTCAGCCTATCTTCATATGGGAGGTGTTCCAGTCCCCTGATCATCCTCGTGGCCCTCCTCTAATAATATGTAATAATATGGATGGACAGCAAATCTAACCTTGCATGAAATGTGGGATTTCTGTTACACAGTTGTGCAGGTGCCCTATTGGTTTTGTGGTTTTGTCATTGCATTTTCGTTTCCTAGAGGCAATATCTAAGCAATTATGTAGGACTTAAAAGAAAAATTGATGTATGCTTGTGGCTACTGTGTGGCTGCACTGTTCAAAAGTATTTCCAGTATGGTGAAAGTTGCTGAGAATGCTGTAAAATTAACATTGTGTTCTGGTTTCTCAGAGTACGCTTTCAGGTCTGAAGTTAATGAAGGTGTAGGGATCCCCAAAATCCCAGTTCATCCCATTGGGTATCACGATGCAGAAGTATTATTACGGTGAGTATACATCAGTCCTCCTTACTAGAAGTCAGTATTCACAAATGCACAGCAGTTTTTTTTCTTTTTTAATGCTAAGGCAGTAAAATCTGTGCTGTTACTTTATTTCATGTTCTTTTGTAGTAGTGTGTGTTTCAGGGAATGTGGGAAATTCAGAGTAATCTGTTTCTGGCATAATGCTTTTAGCAATTTTATAAACATACCTTGGTTTAGGTGCAGTAATCATTAAGGAAATAGAAGGTTTTAGCCTCCTGGTCAGCTATAATTCTCTTGTTTTTCACTTAACAGTGCAATGGGAGGACCTGCAGCTCCCGACAGCAGCTGGAAAGGAAGTCTCAATGTGCCTTATAACATAGGTCCAGGATTTGCAGGCAACTCCTCTACACGGTCTGGTTTAACACTTGCCTATTTATAAAGTATTGCAAGAGAAATCTCAATGAGAAAAAGACTGTGAAACAATACATCTGGAGATATTCTGGAGAAATTTATTTCTTTCTGAGTGTGCAAGACTTGGTTATTAGAATTTGAAAATAAGTTATCAAAACTATAGTTTTGCTCAGTGTCCACAGTGTCAATGGATAAAGAGATTCAGAGTGTACAGGTCCAACCCAGTCTTTCCAACTTTAACCCTTACTTTAAAGTTTCAGGCGTTGTTTCACTGGTCCTGTTTGAAATGGCTATATAGCAGTAAGTAGACTCTTTTTTCAATACTGTTGTATTAACCCAAAACATCCTCCTTACTTCGAGTTTCCTTTTCTGATTCTGGTGCCCAAGATGACAGTAGGACAGCCAGCTTGTACCAGTCCAACAGGGAAGGACTGACAATGCAGTAATCTATGTGTGTTCCCTTGTCCACTGGAAGTCTCCCAGGATTTCTGTGAACTTAGAGCTGTGAAGTGTGGCAATGATCTGGGAGTCCATCAACTGTTACCCAAAGCTGGTAGGCCCCGTGATTGACAGACCTGAACAATAACAAGACAGAAGATCCCAACGTACATATATCTGACTATTTTGTTTGGGAGGAGCTGGCATTTGACCAGCAATACAATATTTGCAGTTTACATTTTTTCAGCTTTAACAGAGAAATGGAAGTGTCCAGGTCTCCAATACTAATGGAGTCACTTCCTACTGGACCAAACTATCTAACAATTGCATTTGGTGAAGGAAGATTTGACTGGCTACCAGGGACTGTCAATAGCATTCTTCCTTGCTTATAACTGATAAGATGTAATAGATAAAGCTGAAGATCTCTTTTCATAGAATCACAGAATGGTTTGGGATGGAAGGGGCCTAAAAGATTATCCAGTTCCAACCCCTCTGCCATGGGCAGGGACACCTTCTGCTAGACCAGGTTGCTCAAAGCCCCGTCCAACTTGGCTTTGACTTTTCTATTAATTTTTCACATAAAAATGCTTCTAATTTATGTGAGATAATATTCTATGAGGAGTTATGAGGAGTCATAGTGGACCAGAATGAACAATGTGTAAATATGGTGTATCATTATCACTACTACACCTCCTGTAAAACAAGACTATGACTGAATATATGATTTTATAAAGACTTAATTGATCATTATTCTTTTATGCTCTGCTTTAACACTAAAATGGGTAAAGTAGGAATAAATAAATAAGCATAAGAAAGCTTATTAGACATAAAGTGCTGTTTGGAATGGCTTGAAGAGCAACAGTGAAAAAAGAAACAATATGATTCATCTACAAAACATACACATGGGAAACATTTTTGAATGTTCTTTTTAACATCTTTAACTTGATAGGGTAACAGTTCTTGTAAATATGGGCTAATCCTACATACGCTTCTTTCTCAGAGTATCTCCATAACAAAATGAACCTTTTGAGCCTAGGTAGAAAGTCACTTGCACATGGGAAGTATGCAAGTGTATGCATGATCAAAGCATTGGTGTCAGTTATTTCCTGGGCAAAGATCCAGTAGCTGTCCTGAAGTAGGGTTTGATTTTGACAGCTATGCAGATTTGCTGTTGAAAAGATGTCAAATTTTAAACTCTTGGGGTTTTGCCAGACACAAAACAAGCATTGTTTGATGCTTTGTTTCTAATATAGGTTAAGAGGGGCTGAATACTAGTACTATGATTATTATTACGTCTCCTAATAACTGAATTTCCTTCCTTTTTATTAAGTTTCACAAGTGGATTTTACTGGGGGGAAGGGATGGAGGATTGACGATTTTTACTAGATCTGAAGTCCTCAACAGACATTTCAATTCATTTCTGGATGAGTGTTTCCAATGACCTTCTTTCAGGATTCCATCTTATTACAAAAAATTGTGCTAGAAGACTAAAGTGTATTCTTTATAAAAATACGCATCCATAATTATAATTTTAGTAAAAATATATATGTATTTTTAATCATTGTATATGCTTTTCAGTTTACTCCTCTAATACACTATTATCAATTGACTTCCCTAAATAACAATTCAGTGAATGCTGTAAATATTTGGAAGTTTATAGATTGGCCCACTTCATAGGGCAATTTCTAAGGCAACTTTCTGTGAGCAGGTTAACCTGATGTGAAAAATGGGGCACTGATTCAGCATGACAGGTTAGATTAGTGCTAAACAAACACGCAAAGCAAAACAGAAGCAGAAGATTTCTGGCTTACACATCATTATTAACATTGACTTTTTATTGCCTTCTCAGTCAGAAATGGTTACTCCATCCTGCTTTTCATTTCAGAAAAGTCAGGATGCACGTTCATACAAACAATAAAATAACACGGATTTACAATGTCATTGGCATCCTCAGAGGAGCTGTGGAGCCAGGTGAGTATTGGGTGCTTGGTGATTTTAACTGCTTCTTCATGTTGTGTTATGTGAAGTCGTTCCCATGTTGCAAGAAACTTCAAGTGTTTTAGATAGACAGATAATATGGAATCTGAAAACCCTTTAGTAGTTGTCCTGTCCCTCCCATCACACTGTTTTTTATTGGCATTCCCAAGAATATATTTGAATGGGAATGCCAGAATGATAGATACCAGAGAATTGTTTATACTGCCTGTCATTTTACATTAGGTTTCCCATTGCAATAGTCATACATTTTGCCTTTGCAAAAATTAACACAAAATTAAAAGTACAGAAAACTAGTGATGATTTGGGACCTCAACATAATTGTTGATACCTAGTAGTAGTTTATATACATGAAAGACTTTTAAGTGGAAGTGTATGTATAAAGTATTTCTTGTCTTCATTTCTATACTTCAGTAGAATAAGTGAATGTTTGCAGATTACCTTAAAAATAAATCTGCAGCACTGGCACCAGTCTTCTTGTTTTGTCTGACAAGTAGGGATGCAATTAAAGAAAATACAGGTAGCCTAAATGCATCACAGAATCGCAGAATCATTAGGGTTGGAAGGGACCTCTGGAGATCATCCAGTCCAATGCCCCTGCCAAGGCAGGGCTACTTAGAGCAGGTTACACAGCAATGTGTCTAGGCAGATTTTGGAACGTGTCCAGAGTGGGAGACTCCACAACCCCCCTGGGCAACCTGTTCCAGTGCTCTGCCAACCTCAGCATAAAGAAGTTCTTCCTCATGTTGAGGTGAAACTTGTTATGTTTTAGTTTATGGCCATTGCTTCTCATCCTGTTGCTGGGCACCACTGAAAAGAGTCTGGCACCAGCCTCCTGGCACCCACCTTTGAGATATTTATGTGCATTAATGTGATCCCCTCTCACTCTTCTCTTTTCTAGGCTAAACGGGATTGATATTGTGTGTTTGTCTCCAGACAGATATATTATTTTAGGAGGTCATAGAGACGCTTGGGTATTTGGTGGTATTGATCCAACCACGGGTGCAGCTGTTCTGCAAGAGATTGTACGGAGCTTTGGTAAAATGAAGATGGAAGGTAACTTAAAATTACTTAAAATGATCAATATGGAAACCAGCAGCTTTGAGGAACTGTGTTGAATGTCCCCATCAGCAGTTGTGTTGATTTAACTTTTCACCTCCACAGAAAGTTGTATTTCTTATTATGAAAGATGCAAATTCATTGAAGAAGTGCATATGTAGCCTTGCATCTTAGTTGGCTGAATTTATTGCCTAGTGTCTCTCATTGGTGTAACAATACGCTCTTAGCTGTGTGGAATGAAAATACTGCATTAAGAAGAAATGCCTCTGCAATAATATGCTCCTCTAAGGAGTTCGGGGGGATTTTTTGCTATACCGTTAAGTGCTATTTGTGAAGTGATTTCAATTACCTGTGGTGATCTTTCAGTAGACTTTCTAACTTCAAATTGAACTTCGAACTTTCATGTTTAATTATGTGATTGAAGGTTGGCGACCTAAGCGAACCATTATTTTTGCAAGCTGGGATGCAGAAGAATTTGGATTATTGGGATCCACAGAATGGGCTGAGGTAAATGGAAAAAAATAGTGTAAAGAAAGTAAAACTTTAAAGCCTGTTGCAGGCAGCTGCAATACCCAGTGACATATATTCCTAGACTGCAACCAATAGCTTCACAGTAAAGTTGGAGAACGACAGACTCCTTCAGGGGCTGTGTGGCTCTCATGTATTTATACAAATTACCCACTTAATGTCTTACAACATAAGTGCACTAACTCTTCTAAGGTTTAAAAATCTACTTTGATTCCAAGCTAATGTCCTTCAGTGGTCCCTGTGTGGAAATCTAGCTGTTCATTTAACAGAACAGTGACACTTTATATAGCCTAAATTGATTTACTTTCTAACTTCCTGTTTGAGAAATAGCTTAGTTTCTATAAACTAAGGTCCATGTACCTGTGATCCATGAGCACACCAAGACCATTGTGTGGAAGCTAATCCTCCCAGGCAAATGAAGCAGTGGGTAAATCTATGAGTGAATAGTTCCATATTCCCGTGAAACTTCCAGTATCATAGAGTGTCAGGGGAAGGACAATAGATTAATCCTCTAGTGAGATCCCTAACTATACTCCTGCCTGATAGAAGGGTGCTGGAAAATTCAGAAATAAGGTTCTGAATGTTTTTCTCTTCCTTTCCCTGTTGGGCATGTTCAGTTTTTAACCCTGTAAGTGGATTTGTTCAGCCCAAGTAAGAAATATAGTTCTTATAAGTGTTTTCATTGCTTTGTCTGTAAAATCCAAATTAGAAATGCAGCAGGCAGAAAATTGCCCAATGAAACACATTTCTACTGAACTATGGTAGTAGTACTGGCTGGTTTAACAGAAATGTATCATCTTGATGTTCTGTTAGAATTTTATTTACATGGTTACATTTAGGTAAGTGGATAGAAATTTCAAAATCTATCAAATAAAGTATTTGTATCTTTTGGCTTTAGTTTATTGTCATGCATTTCAGTAAAGCACAAAATTACATAGCAAAATTGCAGGTGTCAGAGGAGGCAGCAAAACCAGAAATATGCTTCCAAGCACCAAAGGGATTCCATCATTCTTCTGTAAACAAAACTGAGATTTCTATTGCTTTGGATTTGCACTAATTTTCTCTCTACATTACTTGGCTTCCAGCTGCAATAGACTCTCTGCACCTTACTGATGGTTTTGGGGACATTAGATGAAGAAAGCACAATCTCAATTATCTTTAAAGTCATTTGCTGAGAGATTTTAAAGAGTTGACATTAAAGTTTCATCCCATCTGAACTCCACTGGTAACAAAAGTATACTGTATAGAAAGCTTTATTTGTGCTTTCTTTAACTATGTGTCTGTGCACATATTCAGATGCTGTCAAGAAAAAAAACACCTATTTGTTTTGACTATGAGGAATGTGAAACAAGATCAATTTTTGTTGAGCAAGTCATGAATAAATTAGGAGTTCTTTTGATGTTTCATTTCTTCACATATTGCTACTGGTGTTCTGTAGTTTTTTGCTTAATAATTTAACATCTAGTAATCTATCATTCATTATTTCATGAAATAGCAGCTGTAATAGATTAGAAAGCCATAACCACAAATCATATTTGAACCTAAATGGTTTTATATTGTTGTTTTCTTGCTTTATCTTCCTTCTCTTTTACACCTAGATTAGATTCAGTTTCTCTAGAGACAGTCCTCAGGGTTTAGATTCATGTTTTCCTGTAACGCTGCCAGTAAATCTTGAGGAAAATTAACTCATGAGATTCACCATCTTCTGTGTAAGAAAAAGACTGCAACTGTGGCAACATCCTTTTGTTACATAGGCAATCTGCATTGCTCATAAATGAAGGCATTTCTTTAGTTGCAAATAAGCATTTGCCTATTTGCAAGGCCTTATGTATGCACATACAGGCTTGCTCCCTCCCTTCATAATCTTTTTGCAGAATCTCCTCTACCATTTGTTTTAAGCATATTAATTTCACCATGAAGTTATCAATTACCAGTTCAATTTTTAGTTCACATGACTTAGAGATGATTAGTTGGGTTATAAGTTGAATGAATCAAGTAATAATTACTAACCTAATTAGAATATCCATCACAAAGCCAAGACTTAGTTACTACCACTTACTGATTAGACTATTAATTTCAAATATAATTACCAGTTTGCAAAAAAATTCAACAAGTGTGTGCATATATTTAGCATGAAAGCAATGCTTGGTTGACTCAAACCAGTCAAATTCTCTTTAATAGGAAATGTCAGTGCCTTGACTTATCCCTTTTTGAAACGGAAGGGTGTAGAAATGACGGCAACACTCGGTTTATCATCAGTGTTAAAACTGAGTTCGCTGCTGAGTGCTCACATGAGTAATTATGGGTTCAAAGCATGGAGGAATTCTAGCTGACCTCATGGTCATACATTACATGTTCAAAAAAGCAATGCAGAGATAAAACACATGTATAACCTTAATTTACCCTGTTACAATTCTGTTCAGTAGTTTTCCTGTTCCACCTTGCTCCTGTGTGATGCATCCTACATTTTGTGGGTGTTTTCCACAGCAAATTGTGCAGGAATGAATTTCGTATGCCCAGATCATGGACCCATCCTCAAATGTTAAAATAATTAGCAAGGTACACAGTGCTACTTATCCTGATGGGGCTCTTAAAAGTAATGTTGTAAAACCCAGTGTGCTTAACATGCTCTTGACTAAATTTCACTAGTTGCAAGTAGTAATTACGCTTTTACAACCCCAGGAAAATGTCAGAGTCCTCCAAGAACGAGCAGTCGCTTACATCAACTCGGATTCCTCTATAGAAGGTGGGTCTTTAATTTTTAAACTCACTTTACTTCACAGATGCCAATGTTAATAGTTTGCTGTGTATTATTTATTGCACCCAGAGCTGTCAAACATGACAGATAATGTAATGTTCAGGGTAAGTGCAGCAAATCCAGAGTTAAGTGGAGAAAGGGAATAAATGCTCATGTTGCTTGCTTTTGCACATAGCATCATCCATGAGCTACAGCTCATGTGTCTGGAGTCCAGAATGTTTCATCTGGAAGAGTTTAGTATTCTGTTCTAATGAACTGAGCAGTCTGAATGTTGAACTCTCTCGTAACTGCATTAGCTTTAATTTACAATTACAGTTTTAATATATGACAGGCTGCTCCTTGTTCTGCTTGCAGCTCCAGCTTCTTTCCCTGTGGAATTATATTTGGGACAATACCTTATTATGATTTTAGGACAAATTGTTTCGAGTCCTTAGGGTTACATTTTGTGGCAGTGGAACCCATTTTGGCACTTTGGGCCAGTGTGATCACCTTTGTTCATTGTTATGAGGAGGGTGACCATGAAGGGAGTTACATATGTATTATGGCAGGACTCTTCTTGAAAAATAAGTGTTGAAGAGTGTTTCACAAAAAAATCTGAACCACCATCATCCAATTTACTATGATCTTCAGATTATGAGATGAATCTGTCATACAGGAACACTGCTTAGAAACCTGACTTTGAATTTGGGGCACAAAACTAAGACCTAAATCACAAAATCCTTCTTACGTTATACTGAGCTTTATTACAGAAGGACTTCATTTACTGCTGTCTGTGCTGAAATAATAGTAGAGTCCTGTGAAGCAGTCCTTCCTCATAACCTCAGTTATTTAGGGCATTGCCCTTCCCATGTTAAACCCAACTGATTTGGGCTCACTGTGTGTGACTGAAATGGGTATTGACAGGCATATTTAAGAACTCTTTTTATTCTTGTCAGCTGAAAATTTTGTTTCTCACAAAAGGATTGTAAAGAAAGAAAAGCCAAACCCAGTTTCTCAGTTGGAATTGGGATACAGGGAGGGTAAAGGCAGTTCCTTCAATTATGCAGCCTACATACTGTGTAAAAAGTAGAGCAGAATTTCACGCCTAGAAGATCTCACGAACGAAATAATAGCTTTACACTGCTTCATATTCTCTGCATGGATTGTAACACGTATACTTTAGTTGGTTTGCAGCCAACGTGCTGCTGTCTTAACAACTTTCTTCTAAATCTTGATTATTCAAACATGTCTCTTGCTTTATGCATTAAAGAAAATATGAAAGTAAAACCACTGGAAAAGAAATATGTAATAAGGAAAAGAAGACCATACTCAGTGTACTGTTTTAAGTATCTTGCACATCTTTCACCCGATTGGGCATTAAAATCCTCCGTAAAGCCATAGCATCCGTGTACTCTGCTGATTATTTTGTTTACCATTGTACATTCTCCACAGCGCTTTATATGCCACGTTTTGACCAGCAAATTATTCACTGTCTTTTAAAAATGGAAAACAGAATAGTGCGTCATACTTTTGAGCATTTTTGTGACTCTAATTTCCAGTTCTCAAATATAGACTGTCCTTGGAAACATCATTAACGTTATCTGGTATTTTTTCCATCATAATGGGGTTTTCTGTAATAGTAAGTGCAGTCCTTTTGTGAGTACACGCTGCGCAGAGGATGACCCAAATATCTAAAGCTCTGTCAATAGCCTAACTATGTCATCTGAGAGCTTATGTTTTATTATGTCCCAGCTTTCTCGTCCCTCTCCTTCTCTTTGTTGTTGTCTGTATCTGAGGGCAGAGGTGTTTGCCTAACTGCTACCTGGTGGTTGTAGTACATAGACAAGATGCTTTACACTCCTGCCTGCCTCAAAAGTGGCCATAGTTTCTTCTGATGGGGCTCTTGTTGCTGTAACTGACAGCTTCCGCCTGAGATACGTATGTAGTTCAACATAGCCTGCAGGCAATGTGGAAACCTTATGGGTGTAAAGCATAGCAGCCACATCATGGAGGTAAAAGGGGGGGTTTAGGAGACAGTAGGTGAAAACATTACTCTTCATCTTTGCTGCCTCCTGTTTGGGTGAGACTGAGTTATGAAATATAAAATGCCAAATGTCTTGCAAGTCTCTTGCTCAAAAGACAGCCCGTCTTTCAGATACAGGCTACAAAAACATTGAATGAATACTCTTTAGGATAAAAGAAGAAGCAGCTGCATTGAAAGACTTCTTAAAACGTCTTCCAGGGAATACGCCTTTCCTCCTGCACAGCTCCTCAATGCACTGAGTTTATTTTTAACATCCTCCAAAAAGTTACCATTGCCTTCTGTTTAACACAGGCTTCAGGGAGTGTGTGAGTGACAAGGGCCTGTAGCTAATGACGGATAGTTAGGCATAATTTACAACTGTGGAAATGATTAGTTTCATTACAGTGTATGTGCCGTAACGGGTGCATCATTGTCATGGCATAGCAGTAGCTTATACAATATGACCATATAGCCTTTTTCTGTGTATATTCTGAGGCAAAAAACTAAATTCTTGCTTTGGAGTCAAGAAGTTTGTCTAAGAAGGGACTGCAAAGTTTAATCCGTTAAGAAGATAATGCCTGTGGTATGTGAAGGCAAATTTCCACATCTTTCTTTCATTTTCAGGTAACTACACACTAAGAGTTGACTGCACCCCTCTTCTCTACAAACTGGTGTATGATCTGACAAAAGAGGTACAGAATCAGTGTGTCTAGTATTTGTGATTTTCTAAGAATGTAAAAGTGGAAGTTTACTGGATAAAATCAGGTTATTAAATAATATTGGATTTATCTTATTGCTATGCTGGAAGAATCCTGATCCCACCAAAATCTGTGGCAAAACATTCCCCATCAGTAGTACACAGTCCAGGCTCACAGTTCCTCAGTATTAGAAAGGTTGAAGTGTGTTACTGACTTCAGTGGAATGTTGTTTGCAATATATAGTAATAATAATAATAATGAAAACAAGATAATAAAAAGCAAGATCACTTCTCTGAAGTGATAAGCATTCAAGTAAATAAATTACATTTTAATTTTCCCTTTCATGTGCCAAAGAGCATCTATTCATTTCCACAGTGGCAAGCTACCATTTTTCATCCTGTCTGTTCCCCCTGAGATTCCTTCATATCTTACTGAGACCCTGAAACCCTGTGATAAATACTGAGGGATTGAGTGGGGTTTGCAACAGGCCAGATGTATGGATTTGCGTGATTTCATGCAGTCTGATCATGTCTCCTTTGCTTTCACCTCTCTGGATAAATTATCATGAGGCTGAAAGATTGTGATCCATTAAAGCATGACTCTTCATCGGCCATGTGAGGAGTTAACCAGGTTAAGCACCTAGCATGAGCCTCTGTCACTATCCTCAGATCTGGAATCATCTTGATGAACAGAAGGCATCTCTGTCTGACTTAAAAGCAGTCATAGAAACAAATATCATTAGGATGAGAACTTTTTGACCAAATGTGGTTCTCTACTCTTGTACAGAGAATCATAGAATAGTTAGGGCTGAAAAGGACCTTCAGATCATCCGGTTCCAACCTCCCTGCCATGGGCAGGGACACCTCACACTAAACCATGTCACACAAGCTCTGTCCAACCTGGTCTTGAACACCACCAGGGATGGAGCATTCACAACCTCCCTGGGCAACCCATTCCAGTGCCTCACCACCCTCACAGTAAAGAACTTCTTCCTTATATCCAATATAAACTTCTCCTGTTTAAGTTTGAACCCATTACCCCTTGTCCTATCACTACAGTCCCTAATGAACATACAGAATTCTCAAACTATTTTCCCCTGATATTAAGGGAGCCCAGGTGATTTGTTCCCACATAGAAGTATGCACTGTAATGGCACTTGGTAGGATGACTCCAGCTACTAGTCTCCCATCCCAGTAGAAGCATTGATCCTGAGTTATATTCCAATACATTGCACTTTAACACTGGAAATGCCATGGTTTGAATCTAGGGAATTTTATCTATGCTATTCCCATGTTTTTCTTTTCTTTCCCATATTTTTTTTTCCTTATTGAGTCTATTTTACTCTTTCTTCCCTGGGTGGGAAGAAGCCATGCTTCTTCAAACATTAGCTGTGACAGTTGGCACACTGAAGGGCATTCTGTTTCACCTATAAACATTTCCATATCCCCAGTGATGTACAGCCCTAGATATAATAATTAACTTTTTGTCTGCAACAAGCTAATTACTCATGGGTATGTTTTTGTGCAAAAGACAAAGCGAAAAAGTGCTCTGGGCTAAAAATAACATCTCAGAAAACTATTTAACTATTGCTGGGTTCAAGTAGAAAGCCTCCATTAAAGTACCATTCTAACTGCTTGAGAATGGCTTTTGGGGAACTTTTCCTATTGAGTGCTATTTAAGCTTTTAACAGTAGAAGTATAATATAAACAATAGAAAACCTGACAGCTATTCCATAATTCCATGCTGTCTCCCTGCTGAAAAGCTCCCAGAATTACATTATATTCATCCATATTCATAGCTGCATTTATAAAGGGGATTATTTTATGGCAGTGAGCTGTCAGTGACCATTTCTTAAAGCCGTCTGAGTCTTGTCAGTTTGTTACAGACAAAATCCACAACTTCTTTTCTATTATTCTACAGAGCAGGATTCTGTAACAGCATTCTGATTCTCTGCTGGTCTCTGTTTTATGTACACAGACAAACCTTTACAGTGATTCAACACTGTAGTTTTCATTTCTGAGCTATCTTTCATTAACCAGTGTTGATGTGCCACCAGGGACCTCCAGTGACCCATAAATCACAGGCTGTGAACCTTTTGTTTGAGTTTTTCTGTAAGATTATTCACAGAGATCATTGGCATTTTTCTAAGGAAAAAGATGTTTTGATGGATCCTTGGACAGAAGTCAGGGATACCAAAGGGTGTTTGCTGAAGGACCACTTATAGCCAGGACACCATTTTTGCTGTCATAGAAGCATACATACAAATGACTGAAAAATGTGACACATCTTTTACTTGGCTTCCTGCTTCTAGCATCACAGAATAAAATTCATTTAAGGGTTTAAACACCTTTATTCTCCAGGTCCCTAAAAATTCCAGTGGATAGGATTAGGAAAAGAGGGAATGAAGCTAAAGCTAGAAGAGGGGAGATCTGTTTTACAGAGGGTTCTGCTTCATTTTCTTTCTCCTTTTCCCCCCGACCTTTCACTTGCATTTAAATAGCCTCTTACAAAGATAACCAAGGACTACAGTCTGTACCTTTGGTCTTTTCCACTAATCTGAAAAAAGCCCCTAATTTCTCTAAGGGCTAAAGGGACTAAAGCAGAGTGATTATATTCTTAGTTTTGCTATTTCAGCTGCAGTGCACTTGATTTTGGATGACATTGGGAAGCTGGACATACACGTATCAAAGCCTCAGTTCATTAAGTCTTTGCATATCCTGGTTGTTAGTTCCTTCCATAGGAATAATGAGAGGTCCTGTGCATCTCACAAGTCATTGTTAAGTCTTGGAAACAGCACAAATGGGATTAAAATGGTCTATGATGTGCTTTGCGTCAGGCTTTTGCATAGGACTGAGTTTCATTCATGAAGCCCACTATGTGAGATGCTTTTCATGGTTGGGATCCCTAAATGTATGTAATAAATGTAAATAGTGTGTGTGTACTTCCCTGCATGCAGCAATGTAAAGGTCTCCTTTGATAGAGTTGAGTTACAGGTACTTCCAATGAGACTGTATTTTCCTTTCCAGATTTTAAGCCCTGATGAGGGTTATGAAAATAAGTCTCTTTATGAGAGCTGGCTTGAGAAAGACCCTGCAAGTGAGAATAATAGCTATCCCAGGTAAGTTGTTAATCTTTCTTGTCTTTCCCAATATTTTCATCTTACCATAGCATGGCTACTCGCCAGAATTTTTCAAGATGTGCTATTGATGACAGCAATACAAAACCTTTTAGCACAAGGTGACTTTCTAGCAATATCTTTTAAAGTAAAATAAAATCAAATTTTATGACTTTGTTAAAATGAGAGTGACATCTATGCTTGCTGGAAAATAAAACCTCACTCTTTTTTAAAGGCTTTTTATTAGCAGAACAGCAATTTGGAAAGCAATCAAAAAAGAGCAGGGCAAAGAGAGAATTCAAAATGCAGTTTAGTCGCGCTATTAGGTGAGATAATATCAAAATTGTTAGGATAAGCAAATGCTCAGTTGAAAGATACTGCCTAGAGTGGTAATTACTTGTTCTTTGTTTATGCAAGATAAATGTAATATATTACAAATCCATATCCGAGGGTATTAAAACTTCATATTTGAAGGTATTAAAACTCCAAACCACTCTGAGCCTGTGACTCAGGGCTAAATCCTATTCACAATGTGTCATTACTCATGGAAGGCAAACAGAACTGCCCCGTTGTGGGATTTGACCAAAATGTTCTGCATGTATTACCCTACCCTTCAGACCCTGTTGAGTGTCTAGATTCATTAGACTCACTGAGGTTTCTTCCTTTTGAAAAAGCTACCAGATCTGATCTTTCTCAGTTGATACAAATAGCTCCTTGCAGAAATTTATACTGACTGAAGAATTCCAGCTGGAATAGAAGAAACTTGTTTCTTTTTTAGCTGAGAAACACCGATTACGCACCAGGCCAGACATCCAAACCTAAAGCTTAATATAAAGTTTAAATAAATATTTGAACATACTTAGAATATCACATCCGTCTCTTTTCTTTCCCTCTGTTTTGCCTCCCTTACCCAGCAGATGGCAATATCTACTTGTAAGTAAGAAATGCTAATTGTCTGCAGTGGAAATTACTTCTCAGGCTTTGACTCTACTGTGGAATATCCTAAGTATATAAACACATCTGTCTTTACATATATTGCTGCCCAATTCATATTAGTTTGGAAATAGATGATTATTGTTTTAAGATTGCAGAAACATACCTGATACAATTTTATGTCTCTTGTGCATAATACGTACAGGGTTTTTTTAAGTGTGCTCAATGTCATAATGGGGATTGCTACCTTTAAAAGATCTTCCTAGCAATATTGGATACTGAATTAGTGCGGTGGAGTAAAATCAGGTAGAGCCATTAAGCGTGCCACTCATCTAGTCTCTGATCCTACAAGTGTCTCTAATGCACCCTCCAGAAGAACTGACCTCAGTTTCTGTCAAAGATCTGCATTTTGCATAAATTGCTACCATAGCAAACAGGAAATGCTCTCAAAAAGATGTTGCCTTTTCTATACGTAGAATAAACAAACTGGGATCAGGCAGTGATTTCGAAGCTTACTTTCAGCGACTGGGAATTGCAGCAGGCAGAGTCCGTTATACCAAGAACAGGGTAAGTCTTCCAGACTGCTTGAAGTTCATAGTGCTGAGCAGTCATCTTTTAAAAGCATTTGTTCATGATTAATGCAAAAGCTTCAAAGAATCTTTCTTAGACTGGTTTGTATGTCAGTTTTGTTCCTTAATTTAGCAAGAAACCTAAATGTTTGGAGAATGAAACATGTTATAGTAATGTGTCTATTCTATAGGCTGTCAAGGGCACAGAAGGGTATTTATAGAATCTGAGGTGAAGTGTATATTTATTTTCACCTTGCTATTAGTAGGGCCCTTAATATACAAATATGCCCAGACTGTGTTCAGAAATAGCTACACGAGATAAAAAAGGGCCATGATGGGGGACTTCTGCTACCCAAAACTGTTCTCACTCTTACTGAAAGCAATCTTTGCACAATGGAACTGAAGGCAGGCCTGTGTAGATAGGGAGAAAGTGGCCAGCTCTCTTCACCTTGTGTAACAGTCCATGGATTCGTGTTGATTTAGTTTCTTAAAATGAGTGCACCAAAATGGAAGGATAATAAATTGTGGTTTGTAGCAAATAGCTTTTTTTCATTTGGAATCTGTGTAAAACATCATAGTTAAGTGATCAATACATCCCTTAACTGCAGTTAGAATACAGGGCACTGACAAATTTGCTTGCTCTTTTCCAGAAAGCAGACAAATTCAGCAATTACCCTGTTTATCACACAGTGTACGAGACCTTCGAGTTAGTGGAAAAGTTTTATGACCCCACCTTCAAGAAACACCTAACAATTGCCCAGCTACGAGGCAAACTGGTTTATGAACTGGCAGATTCCCAGGTCATTCCATTTGACTGCAGAGATTATGGAGAAGCCTTAAGAGAGTATAGCAATAGAATTTATAAATTGGCCAAGAAACATGAAGAACAGCTGAAGCTTTACAAAGTGTCATTTGGTGAGTAATAGCCATAAAGCTATTTCTTAAGTGTGTTAATTAAAATCATGTAGGGACACGTTGTATCTGTTACAGCTGTGAAACTGAATTCTTTACTTTCCTGTTTTAATTCTGCCATCATATTAAAGAGCCTCTTTTTTCTTTTTTTTCCTAAATAAAACATGGGTTTGACACATTATTGTCTCGATGAGAGGTTTATAACAGTTTTTATATTATTAATTATGGGCATTATGACAGTGCTCATGAGAAATCATAGACCTCAAATGCAGAACAAAGATACATCAGCCTGCTTCTCACTTTTTTGCTCAAGAAGACAAAGGTTTATGGCAACTGCCTGGAACTTGAGAGAAACAGGTTCCCATTCCTCCTCAGCCAAAGACTCCATCTGACCCTGGGAAACTTGCTTTCCATCTGTCTCAGTGCCTGCCTACCACTTTTAGGCCACAAAACCACTTCTCTAACTCTTCTGCAGAAATACCTCCATTTGTTGAGCCCTTGAGCACATTGCAATGAAGCATATAAACCAGGTCTGAAGCAGCAGAGTGCTCTGGATCCCAGGCTAGGATAGCCTCCACCACCACCATCTTCATCTCCCTCTTTCTCTTCTTACCTCATTCACTCTTTGTGCTTCTGTACCAAGGAAGATTTTTTCAGGTGGTCCCAAGTGACTCGCTATCCAATGGGCCCATGGTTTAGAGATATAAACTGCCTTTGAGAGACGCAGAACTTCTTTGAGGTTGTGTGAAACATTAACTCATCTTGGATCCTCATTTGGGAAAAATTAATAATTACATTTAAAACTTCATATAATGGCTTAGGGGAAAAAAAATTGTGACTAATTTGAAAAGACACCCATTTTTGTACGAAAGCCACTTGAGACAGAAGAAGCCTTGTGTGATGGATCGTCTGCTCTGAGACATCGCATGACAGATTTATTTCAATCCTTGTGAGGAAATATCAAAATTGGAATTAATTTTTGCAGCAGTAGAACATCTACCAAAATTTTTGTTAAATCACTTATTTTCCTTGAGTTTCTGTCTCGTTTCGGATTAGAAGTTGCTCAAACTACTTTCTGACCAACACAACAACATTTGTTCCTAGATTCCAGAAGCAATCATCTTCTTTTTAACCACTTAAACCTCTCCTTAATAACTTTATACTTGTGTCAGTTTGACCAGGTTTTTTGCAAGTTTTTTCAATCTTTTCTTCATTTTCAGTTTTTTCTCTAATGCCTGATCAGTTTTAAATTATTTCTTGAATAAAACTATAATTTATGATTCTTGCTTATTCTATCAATCACACCAGGGTATATTCAAATACATTGGCAGATTTTGCAATACAGTGTAAATTAAAACTAATTTAACTCAGCAGTTTCATAGTTGCCTTGTGACAACACTGAAGGTCAGAAAAGTGTTAATTAAGCCGAATAAATCACATAATTGCCCTTCATAATAATAGATTAAGATTCTGTTTGCTTTTGGATTCCCATTTCAGCTGTTCCTTTGCAAAAATGAAGGTTGAAAACCTTCTTTTCATGAAATATGCACTTGCAGTCATATGCTATCGCATATTTTCTAACATAACCAACACTGACAACACTGAATAGTGATCATGGGCAAAAATTCTCTTATATATTTTCAGATGATCTTTCTTTTTTTCCTCTTAAATCCCCTCCTACTGCTTCTGAAATATAATCCACTGCCATGATATAGCCATGATGTCAGCAGGGTAGAACTCTGTCCTCCGGCACACTGGAAACTATTGCCTTGGCCGTGGGCAAGTGTAAATTCTCACCCTCACAAGGTGACATAGGTCTGTCTATTCTGCAGTCCATAAAGGGGTTGCATACATAAAATCTGTGCCTATAATTGTGTAAACTAAAGAAAAATGTTAATACAAGAACAAACAAGTGTAGGCTGGTAATGAATAAATAGGTTTCCTAGAAATAGAAGAGCAAATGAGACTGCAGAACAGCTTTCAAGAGGAGTCTTGGGAACAGAAAGCCTATCACACCAAATAGTGTGATAAATCTGGCTACAGAAGGCCTGGCACACTAAAATAGTGTGATAAATTTATAAACATTAAAGGGCCAGACTTGTCAACAGGGGACTGGATTTAGCAGATGACCTAAACACATGCCCCTATTCCAGTATAATCAAAGAGAGGATACTGAAACTTGTGGGCAAAAGGTATAAGTTGTAAACATTGCTTCTTTGTAATTGAGTTGATTTTTGGTAAGGCCAGAAGTTGTCCTCATAATACTCACCTTATTACTTATTCTACAGAAATTAGTTATATAAATTGATAGTTTTGCCAGGTTTGTATCTAACAGACCCTTTCACAACTGTTGTTGTTAAAAGAAAGGCCTGCTACTTCTTTGGTGAAGTTATTCCACATGGCTTGGATGTACTGCCAAGGACAGAGCTGGAAAAAGCACTAACTCACCTGCACATAGCCAGGCATAACAGGCAAAATTCCAGGGTCTGAGCAGCAGCACTGTGCGGGGACCATGGGGGATCATGGCAGAGACACAGCTGGTACTGTAACTCTAGTGCCCGCATGGAGAAATCACAGGCCTTGGATACTTTAATCTACCGTGTCTATCACTGTGTTCCATGAGTTGAGTCTTTACACTTCACCCAATACTATTCAATATCCATATCGCACTCTTCTGTTATGATATGAATAGGACATAATGTTCCAAGAGGGAAGTCCTGCCATTCTTCCACAGCCTGCTAGCAGAGACAGTATTTTTGATGTAAGTCAGGCTATTTATACCTGAACGATGCAGTGCATCCCTTTGTTAAAAAGGAAACTGCAGAGTTCTCCATTTGCAACACCAGCCCATTGTCTCCTTGCCAGGCAGAGGGAAGATGTGTACCTTTGAAAGCTTTATCAAGCATTCTGCTTTGTAGTTGACCTTGTTGCGCAAGGTCTATTACTGCAAGTAGTGCAGCTCTTTAAAGTCTCCACTAGTGAAACAAATGAATGATGGAAAGATAACAAAATTAATGCAATTGTATCAGCAAAACAAATGTATTTTTTCTCCCACTGGGTAACTGAAAGGTGTATTGGGCTCAGTAGATACTCTGAAGTTGTTCACAAAGTCCTTCCTTTTTTAGATCCTCTTTTTTCTGCTGTGGTCAACTTCTCAAAGGCTGCTGATGAATTTCACAGGAGACTTGAACAAGTTGACAAGAAAGAGTAAGTTTGAAAAAAACATGGTTTATATATAAATATATAAAATGTTTTATATATAAATATTTCAATATAGAGATATCTGCCTTAGGTACCCAGGGTGGCAGTTCTTTCTTTCCAATAACTATACAGGGAGTCTCTCCGATTAGTATAAAATGGAGCTCTTTAACTCCAAGAAAGGCAGTATGTGCTAAGATGAATTCTGCTTGCTGTGATGAATAGTATCAGCTGTAGAGCTTATTACTAGCATCACCTTGTCATGAAAATGATTGCAATACATGCAAAAGGCAGGTAGCAGTGTAAGGTAAAAGTTGGACTTTTCACCTCATGTTCAGTGCAAATGAAGTCATGTTTCCTCACTGTGTGAAACCTCTGTCTCCATTTCCCGCAGTCCAGTCACAGTGCGAATCATGAACGATCAGCTGATGTTTATAGAAAGAGCTTTCATCGATCCTCTTGGATTACCAGGAAGGAAGTTTTACAGGTGAGGAATGAGGTTTCTTGCCCAGCTGCCTAAGGCACTGTGGTTTTGAAAGTGAACATCACACTAACCGATGCATCAGCTGAACTGCTCTTCATATAGGCCTCACATAGGAATTACAGCTTAACTGATGGGTTTAGATAATATCCAGTGTGTAGATGGCTTTGTTTATAACATCTGAGGAGAATTCCTTGGCTGCACCAGTCTCGTGGTGCCTAATTCCTCTCCTGGGGTCTGGCACTAAGTTTTTATTCACCATCCTACTCTGTGACTTTTCCTTGCAGCTGTGTAGCACTACTTCTGTTACCACTTGCTCTTTTAAAGCTGTACTAAGTGAGGATTGAGTGGAGAATCAACTGTACTGAAAAGAAAGGAGAAAAGAGGGTGGAGTAAAAGGGAGAAGAGGATGAGAACAGATGTGTAATGAAAATCAGGAGAAGTCCAGAAGAGAGGGTTTGGAGAGAGACCTTTGAACACAGGATAGATGAAATCCCATGAGCTGTGCTGTAGAGTCCCAGCTGCCCCAGCTTTGGCTGCTTCTGTAGATACAGCTATTAGCTTAAATAATTATTAGTTATTCTTGAAGTTTTCTCTCTACAAGCACATGGGCCCATACATTTTATAGTGCACCACCATACATTTTATAGTGCATTTATTAATAACACTTGGCAACAAGCTAACTGCCAGTGTCAGGTGTGTGACTGCCTCACTTTACTCTCAGCATCCCCATCTACTAATGACTGGCTGTATCTAAGTCACTGATTGATGGCTTTCACACCAAGCCAGAGAAGTCCCTCAGGCAGGTAGAATTTGAGAATCACTCTTCCATCCTCTTAGGATAAACTGTCATTCACGCTTCTGGAAGAATGAAATGGTTGTTTCCTACAGTTCTTCTTGTTGGGTATTAGGTATCACTTAGAGCTGTCAGGACTTTTTAACTTGTTTTTTTACTGGCTTGCATTTATTGATGTAGTTTTAGTGCTTATTTTGATTTGGGAAGCCTCTCACGAGCTACAGATGTGCTTTGATACTTCCTATGAACAAAATCAATTTAAAAGCAGATCAACAACTATTCATTATTTAAGGAAAAAATCCCACCAACAAATGAAATTGATTCTTTTGCTCAGTTCTGCCCCAATACGATCACTTCTCCTCTGAAGAATTCATGCTTTTCTCAAGAATTATCCAGTAGATTTTTTTCCCCTCCTTTTACATTCCTTTCCCAGACCTTCTGCTTCCACCTGTCCTTTTATACACAGCAAGATGTCCTGTGTATTTGGTAAGTTCTGATTTTGACGAGGTTCACAGCTGCTTTATGTAGCGTACAACAGTTCCCTACAATGATCACACACACCATTAATGGTTACTTTAATTATTTAGTATAGTCCTATTTTCCTCTTTCCCCTCCCCAGGCATGTCATCTTTGCTCCAAGCAGCCACAACAAGTACGCTGGAGAGTCCTTCCCAGGGATCTATGATGCCCTGTTTGATATTGAAAGCAAAGCGGATCAGCGTGAAGCCTGGGAAGAAGTTAAGAGGCAGATTTCCATTGCAGCCTTCACTGTGCAGGCAGCAGCAGGGACACTGAAAGAAGTAGCATAGGATGATGGCTTCGATAAGCTCAAACAGCCAAGTCACAAGTGCAGCTTATTGAGCCTGCTGCAGTGACCCAGTCTCTTCTGACTGCCTGCTGTACTGGAGTTCCCAACCTTCGGAATGTGTGAGAGTGTACTGGTGGGGTGAGCAGGAGCTTTGCATATCAAGGAACTCCCGAGTTAGAAGATTCTGCTTCCCTGATACTGACAATGCTCTTGCTTTAAGAACAGTCCTAGGTGGAGGCAAATTTGGGGGTAGGGGAAGGAAGAATTAGTTCCCAATTAGAGTTTCCTGAAAGATCTGCCAATTTTGAGGACCCTTTAGTTTAGATGTACAATTAGGAACCCCATTATTTGCCAAGCTGCCTGTAAATCTTGCCCATAGCAGTGATCAACAGCACACATATAGAATTCTACGATTCTTTATCAAGATTAAAAAATACAACACTGCTCTGCACCTGCATTTTTCTTGTTGGGGTAATTACTTTTATAACACAGGACACCAAAGGCACCTCTGTATTTCAGAATGTATTCTGCAGGGCTGGTGAACACTCATTTCAATGATTTGCTTTCTTCTCCCACAAAAGCAGTACCAGCCATTCTTGATAATGAGAGGAAACAGCAGCTTAGATGCAGAAATCCAACAGCAATTCCTCAGGGATTCAGTGTCCATCCCTCTCAAAGTCACTGTGCCTCCCTCCTCTACTGGCACTTTGGAAAATAAAGACTCTGTGGGATAACCAGACATTGACCTCCCAGCTCCTTTTGGCACTTTCATTAGACCCAAACCCATTATGGCAGCTTTTGTTCCTATATTTTCCTGGAAAATCATCTTTCATTAACTGTCTTCTTCCAGTTGAGGGAGCTGGAGGGCATTGGCACTATTGGCAAGGGGCTTGAGGTTATTCTGCTTTTAAATAAGACCTGAAGGAAGTTTCGCATCAGGAGCTGCTTTTGCGTTCAAAGAGAAACTGAAATGCATGAGAAAGGTCACTGTACAAGACTGTTTAATTTGTAGAAAAAACAATTCTTGCTTCATTTGCCCTTTAAATGTACTTCTCGTCTACATGCTCTATGAGTAATAAAAGCGCTAGAATTTTATCTCATCATGTTCCAGTTTGTGGGAGTTGATGATAGCCCATTTCTTCTCTTACGTAAAATATTCCACGTTTTTTCTCACAACCATAAAGTTGCACCAGGTTGTGGGAATAAAATCCTTTTTGTTTTATGGGGAACAGAACAGAAGTGGTACTAAAAGAAAGACAGAATTAGAGAAACAGGACAATTAGTAGGCTACAGAAGGAGTTGTTCTCATCTCAGGCACCTTCCATTCAGGCATTACTGTAGTTCAGTCCTTCAGGAAGTCATTTTGGGGTATATGCCACCAAGAGGCTTTCATTAGCATCACTTCCGTTAAGCCTTCTGAAAGATGAAGGACTTGTGTACCTGTGGATGTTCTGCTCATAGCTTATTGTTAAATTGCTTTTCACAAATCAAGACTTAGGCACATGAGGAGGAAATTCCTCTCCCAAAGTCCAAGATTTACTCTCCTGTTGGAGAAAGGAGTGCCTGACCAACCTCATCAGCATGCACAAGACACAAGTAGTCAGCGCTAAGAACACCAGAACCATGACTACATAGAATCATAGAATCACAGAATAGTTTGGGTTGGAAGGGACCTCCAAAGCTCATCAAGTCCAACTCCCCGCAATGAGCAGGGACATCTTCAGCTAGATCAGGTTGCCCAGCCTGGCCTTGAATCCCTCTAGGGATGGTGCCTCCACCACCTCTCTGGGCAACCTGTGCCAGTGTTTTGCCACCCTCATTGTAAAGAATTTCTTCTTTATGGCTGTTATTTTCTTGACTTCTACGTGATGAGGCCACTCGCTGTTATTGAGTTGTTCACCTCCACATCTGTAGCTTAAGGTGCTGCTGAAGGATGTGATACCTTGTGAACAGTGACTGGTACATTACTCCACCGTTTCTCCTTCCCTTCTGAATCACCCATTTTTCCTGCTCCTTTGTAGCTTTATGTTAACTGCAATGGGCAGTAACTGAATGTGTCTCCAAGGAAGGGTTGGGATATCTCCATGGTGGAAAAAAGCCACTAGTGCCTCTTATGAACAGCAGCTAGCTTTGGATCTGTTGGTGGTTGCTGCCATTGGATCATCAGACAGCAAGGCAAAAAGGGATTTCCATATAAAAAGGAAGTATCTGTTGAAGAGTGATTCCTGCTTAATTTACAGAAATGTCTTTAATAACACAAACCAGTTAATAAATGCTTCACCAGTAAACATACCTTTTCAGTGGTAGCTAACCTTTGAAGTTCTGTGCCATGCAAAAGAACATATTCTCTGTTCTTGTTTCCAGGTGCAGTTCAAGGATGTAAGAATAAATTACAGCTCACATCAGGCTGAATGCACAGCTGGCAGTGATTGCTTTGATCCTTTTCTCAACTTAATTGCTAGCTTTATATGAATGTAGGATCCATCATGACCTGATAGGCCCTGGGAAGTATACAAAATAGCTTAAGTCTATTTCCATTCCTGTCTATAAAGTTCTATTGCAGGAAAGGGATAATCCAAACCCTTATGAATAGGAAAACCAAACCACTTATAAATGCTTTATACAAATTGAATTCCATAAAGTCCCATATTCTTGGTATGGAAAGGATCGGTTACTCAGAGCTGAGATTGCCTCCCCTGCTTCAGCCAACAGTATCTCCTTTTCTGTAGGTGGGCAACCAGGCAACTGCTGCCATCCCACAGCCCAAAGGCTGCTTTATTTGTGTAGCTCATAATTTCAAAGAGTGGGGGGATTTTTCAGGCTCTCCTTATGCTCTGTCCTTTCCCAATTCCATCTGCACAGTTCACTCAGCCTGGCTGAAGCTATCTGTGAATCGTAGAGCAGTGAGAAACAAACCCTTCATAGAATCATAGAATGGCTTGGCTTGGAAAGGACCTTAAGATCATCCCGCTCCCATGGGCAGGGACACCTTCCACTAGAGCAGGTTGCTCCAAGCCCTGTCCAACCTGGCCTTGAACACTGCCAGGGATTGGGTATGTTCAAGGCCAGGCTGGAGCTGGAAAACTCTTTGGCAAAATTAAACTGAGTAAAGTTAAACATCACTTGGATATTTGCTGATTGTCTCTTTAGAAAATCAGTTTTAAAGGGACAGTGCCAGGAGGTTATTTTGGAATATATATATGTGGTTGAAATACCTTTGGTTTGCCTTTGGAAAGGAAGCCGGAACACTTGGTCAATTTAGTGATGGCTGGAAAATGGGGATAACCTACATGTTCCATTCTACAGTGAGTAAGTGATTAACACAATCCAGTTACAACACTCATATATTTGTGCAAAATTAGCAGTAATTTAGAATAGTAATTCTGCTGTGGTTTTCAGTGAATGAATGAATGAATCAATCAATCAATCACAATAGAACCACCTCAAAATTGCTCTGCAGATCTTAAGCTTAATAAAAACTAAATCAAAACCTTTCAAGATTAAATGTTTGGGATTAAGTGATGCCAGTGCTTCTCTCATCACCCTGTAATTTAGCCCTTCTCAAAGCTGACTCATGCATCAAGGGACTGCCTTTGAGTAGTGATGAAATTAAAACTTCCTTATCCCTGTATCCTGATGACTGAAGTACAAGTAACCAGCTGAAGAAGCTTCATAAATCTCCTCAGTAACTACACAGTTCAGGTGTGAGAACAGGGCATTTAGATTTGTCTGGTGTTATAGTTCTGCCAAAGCAAATTGTTGAGTATAGGTTCGGCTGATCTAAGCCTGTATTCTTTTACAACAGTGAAAAAACACAGTGTGTAACTCAGTGTATCTATTAAGGAAAAGACATTGCAAGAGAAAGGTCCTAAAGTCAATCAGCCCATTAAGCAGATGATCACAGTCAGCACTGGTGCTATATGATGACTTTTCCACAGACCCAATTTCTATTGTTCTGTCCTTCTTCTAAAGCGTTTGACACTGTCCCACACGACATCCTTGTCTATAAATTGGAGAGACATCAATTTGATGGATGGACCACTCGGTGGATAAAGAACTGGCTGGATGGCCGCACGCAAAGAGTTGTGGTCAATGGCTCAATGTCCGGCTGGAGACCAGTAACGAGTGGTATCCCTCAGGGATCGGTGTTGGGACTGGTCTTGTTCAACATCTTTGTTGCAGACAGGGACAGTGGGATTGAGTGCGCCCTCAGCAAGTTTGCTGGTGAGACCAAGCTGTGTGGTTCGGTTGATACCCTGGAGGGAAGGAATGCCATGCAGAGGGACTTTGACACACTTGTGAGGTGGGCTGATGCCAACCTCATGAAGTTTAACCATGCCAAGTGCAAGGTCCTACACCTGGGTCAGAGCAATCCCAGGCACAGCTACAGGTTGGGCAGAGAAGAGATTCAGAGCAGCCCTGCGGAGAAGGACTTGGGGGTGTTGGTTGATGAGAAAATGAACATGAGCCGGCTTCAGTGTGCGCTTGCAGCCCAGAAAGCCAACCGTGTCCTGGGCTGCATCAAAAGGAGCGTGACCAGCAGGTCGAAGGAGGTGATCCTGCCCCTCTGCTCTGCTCTTGTGAGACCTCACTTGGAGCATTGTGTGCAGTTCTGGTGTCCTCAACATAAAAAGGACATGGAACTGTTGGAACAAGTCCAGAGGAGGCCACGAGGATGATCAGGGGACTGGAGCACCTCCTGTATGAAGACCGGCTGAGAAAGCTGGGGCTGTTCAGCCTGGAGAAGAGAAGGCTGCGTGGAGACCTCATAGCAGCCTTCCAGTATCTGAAGGGGGCCTATAGGGATGCTGGGGAGGGACTCTTCATTAGGGACTGTAGTGATAGGACAAGGGGTAACGGGTTAAAACTTAAACAGTTTAGATTGGCTATAAGGAGGAAATTCTTTCCTGTGAGGGTGGTGAGGCACTGGAATGGGTTTCCCAGGGAGGTTGTGAATGCTCCATCCCTGGCAGTGTTCAAGGCCAGGTTGGACGAGGCCTTGGGTAACATGATTTAGTGTGAGGTGTCCCTGCCCATGGCAGGGGGGTTGGAACTGGATGATCTTAAGGTCCTTTCCAACCCTAACCTATGATTCTATGATTCTACTATAGCTAACCTGTAAAATAATCTCTACATGCTCATAAGGGCCAAGAGAATGTGAACTCTATGGGCTACATAGTATTTTGCAACAGAAGAGGACCTGACAACCTGGTTATCAGCCCCCCCGACCCCAAACCAAATGGAGGAGCTATTGCTGTTCCTGGCCATGCTGCTTAATAAAATATCAGGCAGCAGGTTTAAAACAAAGGGATTACTCACTGTACATGTCATTATATGGTGAACCTCATTGCTACAGGAGATTGTGAAAGGTACAGCAGGTTAAAAACGGATCAGATGCATGCAAGGACTGCTCATGTCTGACAATGCAACTTTTCATTCAGAAGGCTCTAAAGCACTTGGAAATTAAAGCATATGGAGGCATGAAGGGATTAAAACATACCTGCTTCATTCCTTGCACTTCTCATGGAGAGATTATTGGGAAAGACAGTACTTTGCACTCATTGTGGTGCATCCACTGAATAAACAGCCTCTTAAGTGCTGGTCCTCTATTCATATGCACTGCCTTGAAACCCAAGAAAATTAATACCTTCAAAAGGTGCTCCTCCTCAAACCAAAATAACGATTAAATACATCAATCATGGCACTTATTTAATGAAACAAAGCAAACAACAAAATAGCTTGAAAGCAGAAGTAGTTTGTCCTCCAGTGGTGTCATTCAGAAGGTTAGAGGTGCTGTGCAGCGTGTGCACAGAAAGAGCTACTGCAGTGACCCCAAAAAACTCCTGAGGAAAACAGCAGCAGGATGAGATTAAGGAAGATACTAAAAGTCACTGAGGGCTTTCTGCACCTCCCAGGCAATGCTGTAGAGACTCTCATGGAGGCAGAGCTGGAATCTACAGGAGACAGGGCATCAAAAGCAGCCGGGGACCTCCCTTCTGCAGCTGGTAGGAATAGCATATACTCCTCATGGCCTGTTCTTTCTCTTCCTTACTCTAAATTCCTCTGTTTTCAGTCATGGCGTTCTAGCATACAGTTACGAGCGCCATTAAGAGAGCTGAATGATGGTGAAGGTCATGGACTTCCCTATGGCAAAGCAGAGAAGACAACACTAATTATATGAAATACAGAAATCTTGCTTTCTGCTCTGCTGTTCTCTTCCGAGCCGAAGCAAAGCGTTCCTCGGTTCCTCACTGAGCAACACCTGCTATACAGAAACTGTCCCTAGAGAAACCAGCAGGAGCTGAATTTAGTGAGCAGCCTTTTCTAAGGCAAAAGACTCTTCCCATTACACCACTGAGACTAAAAGTAGCTCTGGTAAAACAATAGTGGCTACTGCTTAACCCTGTAGTTCAACTGCAGGTCTATGGTGTATCAGTTGAGCCCTCAGTCAAATGCTGCTGTTACTTCTCAATTGTTAATTCTCTCACTCAGCGTCAGCAGGAGAACTTAGAAAGCCCCAGTGTTTTGGGAACTCTGTCCCACGGCTTCCCTCTGTACTTGCTTGGACCAGTCATCATCTGTGAAGTCAAGGCAGCTTCGGTTGGTGTCAGCAGTTTTTGTCCTGATGGATTAAGCATCTTCTTCATTCAAGAAAATCTATGAGCTATTCTGCAACCCAACTCATGAGGCATATCCATCTTCTGGATGAGGTTGGGGAGCTCAAAGAACAGAGGAGAAGGAGCAGGACTGGTTTGTTAGGCACCTCATGCATGAGGGGCTGGACCTGGTTGAAGTAAGCTGCAAACACGTCACAACCTTCTATGAAGGGAAAGAACAGGAGAGGCGATAATGGGAAAAGCATGTCAGAGGAGGGTACCGATCAGATAAGAATAGACTTGCTGTGTTTACATGGCACCTTCCCCAGATGTGCTTTGCTATCTTTGCTGACGCATTCCTGATGCTGCCACCCACACTACATCCAACCTCGGCTCTATTTTTAGAAGGAAACCCAAGCCAGTTGCTGGACACAGCGACTGTTGTGACAACATACCCTTACTTAACCCAGGGGCAGCAGGATACCACAGCTGGGGAAGCACAGATTGCTGTGAACACCGAGCACTGAAACGTTCAGTTCCCTCTGAGATCACTCATCCATGTTTCCTTACTCTGCCCACCAAAACCTGCTCTGGTACCTTCTGCTTTCATAAGCCCCATCTTCATCCCACAGCACACATCATCTTGGAACCTTGCCCTGCAGAACTGTGGGCACTTGCTTAGTGCTGCCCATTGCCACAGCAGAGAGTAAAGCACAAACATCCCACCTGCCTTATTGCAGGCAGAAATAAACACGCTTGGTAAGCAAAGGCGAGTTCATTGTTGGTATACTTGAAGTCTTACCTGTGTGATCAAAGAATGTTTAGTCTCTATTTATTACAGAAAAAAAGAAGAAAACTGTTGTTATTATATAAAACTATACAGAAACAAAGGGAGAACAAGTGAGGCAACAGCCAATTGGTCATGAGAGAACTTGCAACAGCCAAACAAGCTAAAACAAAGCTCCAGGCAGGCAAAGAGAAGTTCAGACAACACCAGCCTGGCACATCCTGAGACCCTGCAGGGCTGGAGCAAAGCTGGTGCCCTGCTACCCGCTGTGGCAATGCTGCATTTATTGAACTGCCAGCAGAGACTGATGCTTGGGATATCCCCAGTGGTTATGGACAGCTACTTACGTATGGTTGTATACATACTTAGTATGCATGGTGTAGGACTTAGTACGCAGTCCTGGCAAAGCAGAGATTGATGAAACAGACCTGGCTTTTCTTTCATTCTCAAGCCATCCCAGATCACATAATTCAGCCTTATTGGACTTGGGTTTTGCAAATATCAATCATTCTTGTCACCTGCAGTCTGACAGATGATAACCTGCCTGAGAACTAGATACTGATGCAGGGTTCAGTGTGTAACTGCAGAACTCAGCATTTCCTTGCAGGCAGTATTACACTGCGGTTTGTCCTCAAATGTGATCACCAGAATATGGAGATGATCTGGCAAAATCTGTCAGCTCTTTGAGGGCTACTGCTCGTTCTGCAGACAAACGCACTTACAATTTCAGTGAAGAATACTTACAGTGTGTGGGGGACATGGCAATGTTCAACACTGCAGACTGCAATTATACCCTTGACAAGTTACGTTTACTCAAGTACCCCATGGGACAGTTCAAGATTAAACATACGTGCATTATACGATAAAACTGTGAAATGCAAAACCTCATTAGCTTTATAAAGGGCTGGAGCACCTCTCTGATGAAGATGGGCTGAGAGAGTTGGGATTGTTCAGCCTGGGGAAGAGAAGATGCTGGGGAGACCTCTGAGCAGCTTCCAGTGTATAAAAGAGCTGACAAGAAAGCTGTAGAGGGGCTTTTACGAGGGCATGTAGACATAGGACAAGGGGGAACGGCTTTACATTGAAGGAAGGGAGATTTAGATTAGATATTGGGAAGAAATACTTCCCTGTGAGAGTGCTGAGGCGCTGGCACAGGGTGCCCAGAGAAGCTGTGGCTAAGCCCCATCCCTGGCAGTGTTCAAGGCCAGGTTGGACACAGGGGCTTGGAGCAACCTGGTCTAGTGGAAAGTGTGGCAGGGGGTTGGAACTGGATGAGCTTTAAGGTCCTTCCAACCCAAAACATTCTGTGATTCCATGACTGAGGTTTTTGGCTACTTTTCAGTGTATAACAGTCTCAAGCTGCAGTCTTCAGGGAACATGCATCATAGAATCATAGAATCATTAGGGTTGGAAAGGACCTTAAGATCATCTAGTTCCAACAATATAATTGTTCAAGAATAAATGCAGCAAACTTGTCTGTGTTCCAAAGTAAAACGTTGAGGAGAAGTAACAACAGAAATGCTGAACAGCGCCTGTGTTCACACAGCAACAAGGTGAACCTTCATACAGATAAGGGAGAAAATGATCATTGACTGTGATTTGAAGTTTTCATACTTTGGCTCATGGATGCTGTTAGAGCTGCTGCTTTGTGTCAACCTTCACTCTTAGCAGGTTTTCTATAAACCATTCATTTTTTCTATACCCACAGGAAAACTCTTCTCATAAAAATTTATTTGCAACTACATTTTAATACCCTCCACTCATTTTACCATCTTCTTCGCCGCTGCTCTTTATACACTTGGCAAGCATAAGGATCCCCGCAGTTATAAATCCATGTAAGTAAAAACTTAGCGTAACAGAAGTGCTGCCAGGCTTCCAATTTGCAGAGCTACAATAGAAGAGTAATTGTGAACTGGATGCTATAGCTGTAGGTTTTCTTCATGAGCAGACACTCCAGATGTTAACTGCTTTCACAGATGAAGGCAGAACATTTAAAGTTTGGGTTAGTGTTTATGTACACAATATAGCTTGATTACAAAGCGTTCCCTTGGAAAAAATGAAGTCCCTTAGGGTTTAGAAGCGTGCAGCATCAACTCTGCCTTGTGTACATAGGCTTGATTTTCAATTAAGGAACAACAAATTAGGTTAAGTGCATTAAGCCAGAAGCACATGAGGTTAGTTTTCTCCCAAGCACTGAATACAGCAGCAGTACCTCAGCATCAGTATTTATCACGAAATTAAAACACATTTCAGAGAACAAGGTTTCTGCACTGGTTCAGCGCTGGTTGTAAGCTCTGCCTACAGCTAGCCCTGAACGACTTCTGTTGCAGCGCAGCTTTTATTAATGTTTAACAAGGGATTCCTTCTTTCAAACACTTGTTTCCTGAAGGTAAAAACAATTATCTGATTCAAGAGGATACTTCCTAATCAGAGAGAAGAGAGACCAGCTGCAGGAAGACCAGCATGCTTTCTGGACAGCCAGGATCAGTCATCATACAGACTGCTCAATTTAAACACATCGGCGCATTTCATGTATCACCAGGTTAGGGGTACCTGCTCCTGCAGCCCCTTTCCTTCTGGGCTCACAGGACTACAAATGCATTACCAGACACTGGTCATGTAGAGTAGTTCATTCCAACACTGCATCAGGTAAACATTGACTTTATGAACATGGGTTCAGATCTGTGTTCCTTAAGTGCAAACTCTTAAGGACCATACTCTCAAGGCCACCCACCCTCCTTACGGCCAACGTCCTACCTACCCAACCTTCGTTCTTCTGCAGACAACCCTTCCTTCTGCAAACTCAGAGAAACTGAATTTGCTTAACAAACATTTCACACTGTAACTAGATTAATCTGTAACAATCACAACAGTAATCTTGGTTATGTTTGGTTAAAACAGGTACCCAAACTGTGAGAAAACACGAAGTTTTTATTACCACAGAGAGCTCTTCCCTGTGAGGGTGCTGAGGCGCTGGCACAGGGTACCCAAAGAAGCTGTGGCTGCCCCATCCCTGGCAGTGTTCAAGACAAGGCTGGACAGGGCTTGGAGCAAGCTGCTCTAGTGGAAGGTGTCCCTGCCTGTGGCAGACAGCTGGAACTGGGCAAGCTTTTAGGTCCCTTCCAACCCAAGCCAGTCCACTATTAAATAATTCTATAGATGTCAAGCACCAAAACGCAAATCCCTTTTCTCGAGGGAAGGCCAGAGGTCTGACACGTATCTTCTTCCTTTGTCCAAGAAAATACAAAAAAGGCATCAGCACCATAGTACCTTCAGCCCAAACATTGTATTTGGAATTATTCCAGTTCCACTAAGTTTGCAAATGCTAAAAATTCTTGGACAGACCAATTCCTGGGAATGAGACAGGCGCCCTCTGAGCAGCCACACTTACTCAAACTGCTGCATGTAAGTATCTTGACTGGGCTGTGGTGGGAGGAAGCAACAAAGAAAACAAGAAAGGGGTGAAGAAGAAACCCTGAGCCACAGTCTCCTAAGACACAAGCTGACCTGTTGAAAACACCCACTTACATTTCACTTCACCAACGATGCTGTAAACCCAAAAGGAAGCTCTCTCCCATAACAAAAGAAGTCAACACCCCTTCCTCCCCAGGTGCAACCAGTATGTAATAAGAATTTTATTGAATACAGTTAGAAAAAAATACTAGAGCATAAAGACATTAATTTCTGCAGGTAAGTTTTATGAATGTGCAGAATCAAACAACCATGCAAAAAGACATCTTCCCCCTCCAACTGTAATTCAGGACTCTTGTAATGGCAATATTATTACCACCTTAAAACAGTGTTCCAGACACATAATGCATTCCTTTAAAAAGGATTTTGTTCCTGAACGCAGATGAAAAAGAATTTAGTAGCAATTGGGCAAGACCAATGATTAACAGGTACAGTATTTAGCCAATACTCATGCCATGTGTAAAGAGTGCAAGCAAAAAATGCATCATTACGTAGAATAAGTAATTCTTTTGTTCAAGGCAAAATTCCTAGTAAAACTAATCCCCAAACTATTGAAATGGTGACTTGATAATGTACGTGTTCCAGAAGATCATCCCGTGGAAGATTTGTTTCGTCAAGTTACACCAGTGCCATGTAAAACATAAGAGTCAGAGTAGGTGGAAAGCGAAGTGCTCAATAGTATATTAACATTAAATTCCAGCTCCTCCAAGAAACATTTCAGGTATCAGATGTAATGCTAGGTAGGAACATGGGCTTATACATGAGGGAAAAGATTAAGATTTCTCATGCAATTTGTCATATTAAAAAGGGATTGTGGAGGAAAGGTTTTATCTGCCATTTGAAGAGTCAGTTCTGAGACCTGCAATACACTGTCTACATGTGTAACATGTAAACTCACACTGAAATGCACCACAGCATTTAAAGGCTCATTCATTATAAAAGTATACTTTACCACCTTGTTAAATACAGCGTAACTTCTGAAAACTTGAATAAAAGGGTACATTTAACAGCAAGTATTCCAGTACATACCTGTTTGCAATTTCATTTCACTCTTATTAGACAGGTGAAAGCCTGTACGATCAAAAAATCAGCTTTCAAGCCTTGCTTCTGGGACAGTCCTGTGATTATTTTGGTTTCACCTTCTCTCCACATTTACTACTAAAAGCTACAGCCAAAGCAATAACCTGTTGAAGTGTCAGCTACCCCTACTCTTGTTGAGGTGCCACTACATGAAATACTGGGACCAAACACTGTATGTTGAAACCTGTTCTGAGCACTGCTCAGAACATTCAACTTGGGTAACTGATGCAGCTTTTGCAGCTTGATGATGAAGACACAGTTATAAGCTGCTAAGAATTAATGCAGTTAAACAAAAGATTTGTGGCAGTCTACATCATCTGAGAGTTTATAATTTTGGGAAACATCACAGGCCATTGAAAACTAGACGGTTACTTGCAAAACCTGTACCTTCCTGCCTCATCAAAGCTGGGGATCTTCTGTATGCTTGCTTACTTTTTTGAACAGGAGAAATTTAAAAGGGGATTTATTGGTACGGATACAAGAAGTCATTATGGAACTCTGGAAGCATCTTTAAGTTTGAGCTGAGAGTATGAACAACAGCAAAAGAGTAGGAGGAATGAATAAAAAGCAAAAGCAAAGACCATTATTACAGGAGCATTCTTCTACTTCCAGACAAGCTGACTCAGCTACCAGCAGTCTGAAAGAGCCCATCAAACTGTTAGGGGACCCCAAAGTTTCAGCAGAAGAGGCCATTCATCCACATTGCTCTCTGTTTAGCATCTCGTATACTAAGGGAGAACACAACTTGCTAGAAATACCATTTTTCCCCCAAATCCCATTTCCATTGTAGCTCTTTAAACCATACTTTACATAATGTAAACCTACTGCATGTGTGGATGCAAATAAATTGAAAATATGTTAAAAATGTAGAAAACATTTATATAGGGTATTTATATATCCATATGGCTAGACACACATTTGAACTTGCTTGTTAAGTAAGATCTTTATCCTGGCATTTGAACACTGCTCATTTTGCTGTCCAAGTTCAGAGTTCTGCATACAAAACCACAGATGGCATGCTAGTAGCTACAGCTATCTAGAACATTTCACTGAATAGCACTGAAGTGACTATTCTCAATATCACACCAATGTAAGCTCTGCTTGTCAGTTCAGAGCACATCAGGGAACAGCGGTTCAACTTTTAGAGGACCTTTTGCAGGCATAGTTTTTTGTGAGCTTGCACTCCATCACTTCACAGCACTGATTTGACAGTGACAAATTTATATACAGGGAAAAAAAAAAAAAAAGAAGGCATTATTAGAGGTTAATAGAACCTTTTAAGCAGAACTTAGAGCTAGAGCATTTAATAAGGGCCCAAGGAAGTAAGTAACCACAGTCTGTCCAAGACTGTGAGGAAGCAGTATCTTGAAATGAAGGTAAAGAAGCACCAATGCAAATTCCATATACACAGCACTAGCCTGACTTTCTTGGTGCCTGGGGATGGTTTCTTTGGTAATGTATTTCCTACTACATTAAGCATGAAGTAGGACTTCAAGTACTGCTAAAGACAGAGCTCTGAGCTCATGTCAAATTATACCTGTTGGAGAACAGTTAAGGTTCTTCGAAATCCATATTTAACTTCAGAATGACTTGACTTTGTCCTGTGCCCCTCTTGTAATTATCCCAGGTCCATCAAGGTAGGCAGATGAGCATCTGCACATTTCTAAGTCCACAGGACAGCTTGTTTACAAATACAAGTTTTGGCACAATAAATCATGATGTACAAGCTTCCACTTGCATTAATCTGCCCCATTCCTGGAAGTGCTCAAGACCAGGTTAGATCAGGCTTTCAGCAACCTGGTCTAGTGGAAGGTGTCACTGCCTATGGCAGAGGGTTTGACACTGGATTAGCTTTAAGGCCCATTCTAACCCAAACCATTCTATGATAATATGATTCTATGATTTTGCATGACTTTATATACAAAATACTGGTTTTTGTTCAGTTGTAACATAAAATTAAGAAACTATTTGAAGCAAAAAGAGAAAGCAAGTTCACTGCATGTGCTGCTGCTTGGGTAAAAGTCTCATCTTTATCCTGTTTTCAGCCACAAAATGTTACTGATGCAGAACTCCAAATAAATATAAGGTCTTAATATTATATTCCAGTGTTTTGCTTATGCTGCTCCTAAGAAATAATATTTAACATATTTCAATTCAAAGGTGCAATTATGATTTGAGATAGACTTTTAAAGCTTGCCTTTTGTTTCTCCTAAGATTTATCCTGTAGATAGTTTTTTAGATTACCATCCTCAGACACAAGTGCTATGCCTATCTACATGGAACTGGCTTCTACTACACATATCCACCTACTTTGAGAAAAAGACTCAATTTCAAGTATTGCAGAATTGGACAAAATATACCCTGTCAAATATATACAGCACCCTGGTAATTTCACAATAGTCTGCTGTTTGTATAGTCTCCACAGATGAGATGCTAAGTTATTCAGCCGTTTCACTGTCCATTTATTTTTTTTATTTCAATCTGACCTCCTGCTTTTATACATGAAAGACTGCAAGAGTCGGCAGTACTGAAATCCTTCACAAAACACTGTTTATTCCATCCCTCCACAGCAAACTGGTATTGAAACAAACCTTAGTTTCAGAAGACAGAAACGTAAGCCTGTGTTTTTTGATATTTATATGTCTTTTTATTCCAGATGTAGAACTGCATGCTAATCATTTACTGAACTCAGATTTTTGTATCTGTATTACTGTATGCTTCATACTGAACAGTATCTGAACCTAACATGTGCCACCCAACAGATCCAGTCTAAACTGAATACTTGAAAATTCAGCACTCACAGTGGACAGAAATCACATCTATTTGGATAGTCAGTACATGGTAGGTAAGGTTATAAGCAAAGGGCAACAGCTCTTTTTACTCTAGATCTCCATGGAGACACTTCAACTAGCATAAATATACTCATGGAAGCACGAGCAGAAATAGCTATTACCCTTCAAGCTTACACCCCCATTTACTGTACATCAAATTTCTTTGTATAATGGAACATACGATCAAGTATAAAAAAAATGACTCTATATAAAAGTTAAAATATTTGATTACAGTAGCAAGTCACCACTTCATAATGGGAAATAACTTGTCTCTTGGAATCATTATTGATCTGAACTCTCTTTTTGTTGTTGTGTGTTGGATACCGGTAATTCAAGACTTGCCCATAACAGGGGCTCTGCTTTTCTCATAGTGAGCTCGATCTTTGTAGCCGTCATGTTCACATAACTTCTCTTTACATCAATTACCTAGAACAGAAAACATATTTCAATCTTCAATTTAAGAAAACAGGCTGCTAGATACTTGCAAATTAAGTTTTTGGGAATTTATCGCTAAATTTCAGCTGATGTTTAGGTAGACAGAGTTCCCTCTTGTTATTTAGGGAAGTCATCCCTCTCCCATTCCCAAGCTACGAACATATATATATATGCCCACACGTATGAACACATACACTGGTCTAACACATACATAAGCCTACAGATATATAGTGCCAAAGGTTTTCTGTACCACCACTGTAATGGAAGTTGTGATCAGGAAGGACCTCAGGGGGTTACCTTCAGCTCAAAGCAGTGTCAACTATACTGTCACACCTGATCACCTGGGGCATGAAACTCAGATTTAAATGTAATTAATGAATGCAAGTAACTGAATTTCTTTCAGTATGCAGAGTAATGAGGCAAATCAAACTGTTCTGAAAGAGAGCAAGCTGAGGTTTGTGTTTTGCTGTTTTTTTTAAAAAATAGAAAAATTATCCTTATACTTACTCCCCATAGTTTCACACTGCGATGAAATTCCTTATCTCCTTCAAATACAATATGGATATTTAACTTAATAGGAAAACAAGAGAAAATTTTGTCAGGCTAATAAAACATTTGACACATCAAGCATGTTTAATCAAAATATATTACATTAGAACACAGACCCTACAATAAGCGAAGTGATCAAACTGTCCCTCAGAAGTGAAAACCCATTCTAACCGTTACTGACACAGTACTGTTTCCAACAGTGGCCATATATACATCCTGGAAACTGTGTCATTTTCTCCAAATGCACGATTAAGAAATCAGTGAAGCATTTTAACAGCTGCTTAATATTAGCAGCTGAGAAGCTGCACACCGTGAAGAGCACTATTAAATTACAATAAGCCAAATACAATTTAATTATGAATCTATAATTCTTTACACATATGGTGATGCAAATCCATCACATGTGGGTTTTAATTGCAGAAGTCAAATTAAAGAGTTTGGTTTTGGTTTTTTTTTTTACATATTATATTGCATCTTAAACAAAGACCATTAAATCACACATGTCTAAACAGAAGGGAAAACTCCAAGCTATACATACTTGAACAAAAACAAATGCTAAGAAAAAGCCGTCACTCAAGTAAGATTCTTATGCTCCTTCTGCCTTGTACATAAAAGTAGAAGCCAGATTTTCCTAACTTCAAGCTGCTGTAAGAATTAAAAAAGAGTTACTTCTTAAGGTAAATGCTCACCATTGTGCTATTTGCTTCAACGAAGCTCAGATCAGGAACAGAGTTTTTAGCGTACACAGAAATAGTCACTTCTCCTCCAGTCTGGTGCCAGTCATGCCTGCATGGAACTACTTTCTTACCCTATGTAACAGAACAGGTACAGAAAGAAAAAACTTGAAACTGCATTCAGGAGTATTTTTACAAGATTAATTCAGGGTAAAAGCCCAGGACTATCTGAACAGCCAGAAACCACAGCTAATAAAGAGCTGTAATTCATGTTCGCAGAAGACTGCAAGACTCCGCTTACATCTCTTTTCACTAAATATTTTAGCTATTGGTTTCTGACAAACCTTGGAAGTGAGAAAACCAATGCTCATGACAGAGACAATAATAAGAAACCAGGGCATTCTGACAGGGAAACAAAAAAAGCCCAAACAACAAAACTGTTATTTGTTGGATTAACTTCCTTCCCAAGACTACAGCTATCCAGCAGGTTGCAGAAAGGAACTGAACAAAGAAACAAGCATGCCAGCCATGACTTCAAGAAACTTCCAAATTACTGCAAAAAAGTACTGAATGTTACCTTCTGTTCTCTGATGCAGGAAAAATAAATGACAAAAAAAACAAAATGACAAGAAAAATGTAAAGTACCCCTCCCTCCATTAGCCAGAAGACTATTATCTCAATATGCACGTATTTAATACACAGTTTCTTAAAATCTGGGTAAAATCTTTGCAAGAACACTCTTCTGCTTCAGGCTCACACCTTCAGTTTTGTTCATAATCCCTCATTTCTGTATTAGGAAATAATTCTTAACCATAAACATAAAACTTGAAAGGAAGCAGCAGTTCCATGACTTAAAGGAAATAAAGGACTTGTGAAGTAATTGCTTCAGAATGAGGTAATAGAATCACCACTTTCTATCATACATCTTTATTTTCTTCTGTTAAATCACAGAACCATAGAACGGTAGCAATACCTAACCCATTTTGTCTCGGCAACAGACAATATATTCATATCAAGAACTTTGTGCTGTGTTCATTCCATTATTACATTCTATAACATTCTCTAAGAATTTTTTTAAACCTTGAATGGAAATTTTTTCACCCTGTTATTCTGCAGTTTGCTCCCAACATTGCACTGAAATACCTAATAACTAAAAAGATGCTCTCTGTATTTGTTAAACTGGTAGCCAAATCAAAATGCTTAACTAGACCAGAAAAAAAATATTCAGATGTGTAAACAAAACTGAAACTAGACAGAAGGAGACCCTTCCATTTCTCTATTGTCATGCTGTGCATATCATCCTCAGTGTTATTATTTTAGAAGTAGTGATCTGTAACAGCTTAACTACAGTAACAATTCAAGGTACTAACTACAGTCCAGTATTCAAACTTCAGAATGGCTAGCTACAGGCAATGCTAATGCTACTCACCTCATCCTTTTTAGTCCATACATGTGTTCCTGTTGTGCAGCCTTCTTGAGCTAAAAATGTATTGAAGTCAGATGTTTTTCTTTTACAGCAGCTCCAATACTTCATCCTTGAAAATGTGCAAAGTAATTAACAAACAATATTTAGGACACTATTCACTGTGAATACTTAGGATCTTTCCTTTATGCATTGACTGAAGAAGAAATACAAAATGAAAACAAGGCAACATCTACAAAAAAAGAAGTACAAAATAACAAAAATAACAAAAAAAAAAAAGAAAAAATTAGAGTTAACTGAATACTAACCCTTCATGGAATATAGGTACACCAGAATGGTATATACATACTTCTTCTGTGCTCTCTGGTCCTTGGTACGTCTAGCAAAAGAAAGCATTGAAGTATATTACTGTTACAGGATATGGACCAAAGGCAAAACCAAAACACAACTCAAACAGAAACACTGAACAAAGGACTACAAAGCTTTTGAATAAATAATCTAGACCTAATGGCTTGCCCTAGCTTTTCAAAGTAACCATTCAACCTTCATTCACAGAAGGTTCCCTGGCACACCTAACAAGCTGGATGACATTCCTTCCCTCCAGCGTATCAACCGAACCACACAGCTTGGTCTCACCAGCAAACTTGCTGAGGGCGCACTCAATCCCACTGTCCATGTCAGCGACGAAGATGTTGAACAAGACCGGTCCCAACACCCATCCCTGAGGGACACCACTCGTTACTGGTCTCCAGCCGGACACTGAGCCATTGACCACAACTCTTTGTGTGCGGCCATCCAGCCAGCTCTTTATCCACCGAGTGGTCCATCCATCAAATTGTTGTCTCTCCAATTTAGAGAGAAGGATGTCGTGTGGGACAGTGTCAAAGGCTTTGCACAAGTCCAGGTAGATGACATCAACTGCTCTACCCCTGTCCATCAGTTCTGTAGCCCCATCATAGAAGGCTACCAGATTGGTCAGGCAGGATTTCCCCTTAGTGAAGCCATGCTGGCTGTCACCAAGCACCTTGTTGTTTTCCATGTGCCTTAGCATGCTTTCCAGGAGAATCTGCTCTAAGATTTTGCTAGGCACAGAGGTGAGACTGACTGGTCTGTAATTCCCCGGGTCATCCATTTTCCCCTTCTTGAAAATGGGGGTTATATTTCCCGTTTTCCAGTCATTGGGAACTTCACCTGACTGCCATGATTTCTCAAATATGACGGCCAGCAGTTTAGCAACTTCATTTGCCAGCTCCTTCAGGACCCACCGATGGATTTCATCGGGTCCCATGGACTTATGCACATTCAGGTTCTTAAGAGAGTCTTGAACCTGATCCTCTACTACAGTGGGCCTAGCGTCTTCATTCTCACAGTCCCTGAATCTGCCTTCGAAGGCTTGAGTGGTGTGGTCAGACCATTTGCCAGTGAAGACAAAGGCAAAGAAGTCATTAAGAACCTCAGCCTTCTCCAAATCCAGGGTAGGCAGTTCTCCTGATAGCTTCCAGAGGGGGCCTATGCTGTCCCTAATCTGTCTTTTATTCACTACGTACCTATAGAATCCCCATATAATACCTACAGAATATCAAGAGCAATTCAAGTGTTATAAGGTATGTCTCATCAATATTAAACATTTAAAGCTGAAAAATGTCAGTATCATGGGAATGGCAAGCTCACTCATTCAGGTGAGTTCACGTCAGGCTTCAGAGTCATTTTAAGTAATCTCTCAGAGCAATTTCAGTGCAGAGCAGTCCACATCTGTCCATACTAAATCACATTATCAAATGTGCATTTGTTAAGCCTGACGGACTTTGTGCCTTTTCCAAATCAATTTGTAGCACACAGGAAAAAACACACCCAAGAAAGAAAACCAAAACTGCATACTCAATAGTTTAGCAGCTGGGTTTAAAAGTGGAACTGGACCACTTACTTTTGAACAGCCTGCGTTTTTACATGCCGTCCCAATCTTGATTTCATCATTGTCTTCCTCTGTAAACAGAGTCATAGAAAATAGCAACTGAATTGTATAATGTACTGAATATCTTGCATTGTTAAGAATTAAAACCAGCTAAGGAGTAAACCAGAAAAAAAAATCCCTTCTTAACCTGTCTATTTTCTGCCTGGCACTGAAGTCTGCCAGAAAGGTAAAAAGAAACAAATTCCAGAAGCATTCTAAAACCTGTATTACCTATGCAAAAAGAAACAGGGGAAACAGGTGAGGGAGAACCAACTAGCCTTCATAGAAACGTCACCCGTTTATGAAAGGCTTTATATGACATTGTGTTTGCAGTAAAATAGGATTAAAGTTCATTTCTTGGGAATGTTTTCAGTCATATATTCAGAAATAGATGTCACCACATCCATTTAACCCAGAAATCTTCCAAAACAGGTAGTTGAAATAATTTTAACAGCAACATATTGCTCCTAACACTCAAGTCTCCACACTGTTTACGTTTAAACTTTGATCATCATTCCCTGGGCTGGAAGGTTATTTCCCAGATTAAGAACATAATTACATAGAATTATCACTTAAGAAACAACAACAAAAATATAGCATTTACTATATGCTATATATCACATACGAACTTAATCTCAGTATACCCTTACCTTTTTTCTCTTCGTTTTCTGAAGACAGCTTCAGTTTATCTAGCGCTTGCTTCAAGGAAGCTGACACTTTCAGCTGTAAATTTGTCATTGGCTCATCTGGGCTAAAAAATGTCCATGTACTTATGTCAGCTTCATACAAAATCATTTACAAAACACAACATAGTAGTAAATGTTCATCTTGCTGTAAGGCTCTTCCTTTCTAACCACAAAGAAACAATCTAGCTTTACAAATGCCAACTCTTACTGCTTATAGAAAAATACAGTAGAAATTTAGAAGGGAGTCTTGTCATTCAACAGGAAATTCTATGTAATCTACAGCAATAAAAACAGATTAAAGAATGTAAATACAAGCACCTTGAAGTTATTTTTATAACTGTTTTATTTCCTGTGAAGCTAAATGCTGCGAGATCCAGTACTATCTTGTCCTAACCTGAACTTTTATTTCATTTTGAAGCTTAAGGCAACATCATCACTGCTACCGAACACAAACTTTCGGAGGTTTTGTACTATGTAAAATGTGAGACACTATAGGAATAGCCCAATGAGCTTTAACTTGGCTAACTGACCACAAATTTGGCAAAACTTGGTTTCATATACTCCACCTTGGCCTTTTAATTGTTTCCAATGGTTTTGGTGCCTGAATTATGTGTTCTTGAAATCTGGGTTTCAGTTCAGCTAGTTCCTTTCGTTCAGAGGTAGTTTTGACTTCTGGTTTAACAGGCTCAGGAGGCTTCTCACTGTTATGGAGACCCTTTGTACAGCCCTATGGAGGAAAGCATATGTTTATATATACACAGAGTGTAGTTTGTGTGCAGAAATAAAAGCTATCAAAACCTGCAGCAGGTTTTTTTGATTTATTTTGTCAGCTCCATCGTTAACTCACCATCCTTTAACCTACTCAAAACACTGGCTACAAAAGAAATCCTACAGCTCAAGTGGAAAGTATCTTCATTTGGACATGCATTAAAGAAAAAAGCATATTTTCCATAATCAAGCAAAGAACAAAAGAATTGACCTTCTTTCATTAACATGCATCTATATAGGTTCTAATAGAACTTATTACCACCATTAAGGCCTGTAAATGAGACTCAGATTCAACATTATATCAAGAAAAATAGTGCATGCAAGATTTCAGAATTTTAACAAAATTATGCCACCTCTCATCAATATTATGTCATTTGACAAGTATAAAAATGGTAAATAATCAGGAGTACATACCACAATGCTTAGGAAGTCAGAAAAGTCTGTTGTTCTTCTCTTGCAACATGACCAACCCTATAAACATTTTGGTACGAAAACAAAACAAGCATGACTACCTTACTTGGCAACAGCTTATAAAAAGCAAAAGACTAACTGTATTCTTTTACAAGATGTCGTACATCATGATTAGAGATTTTCTTTTTCCTTTCTTTGGACAATATTATCATCATCTGCATTTTTAAAAGCCAGAGAAAAGTGCAACAGCTGCCATTTCTAGTTTTCCTCAGAAAATTTGGTAAATGTGAGCCGGTATTTGTGTGACAAGTTTGGTGCCAACTCTGTATGGCAGAAAAAGAAATTTTACTCTATCTTATAAAGTAACATGTAAGCGAAACAAAGAAATATTACACCCACGACTAGGCTTACCTGTGGCAGAGCATACATGCCCCCATCCTAAAACAGTAAGAATATTTTTCCTTCCTTGAGCACTAGTCAAGTCTTCCAACTGCTTACTTCCTCATCACAAAGCTGGATATCTGCATTGCATAGCCATCTATTCAACCACATCAACCAAGAATATTTTATTATATAAACCAGAAATGCAGTTTTAGAGAAAATTATCTTGCCACTCCGAAAAATGTACCTTGGAGGTCAAGGAACCTTATTAAAGACAACAGTTTGACTAATAAATGCACCACTGCTTGGAGAGCTTAACAGACGCAATGGGGTTTGGTAAGTGGTTCTACAACACCTTCAAAATATATCAACTTCCACAAGTGAGGAGACAAAAGGTTCACCCTGCCTTTTCAGACTGTCTACAATTTATAGCAGGAAGAAAAGCACTCAAAATATGATAATTTTATGATCAGGCCAAGACATACGATAAAGAGAGGGCTAAAAGTAGCACTTGCTTTAAAAATGGCGTGTGTAAGTGTGAGTAAAGACAAGCTCTTGAAGCAACTGTGTAATTTATGTCATTATAATTAGGTAGAAGTTTTATGTACTGTTTTATGAGTACAACTATATTTTTGTCCAGAACAAACTCCATAGTCTAAGTAACTGTATCATATTTGATCTAACAGCATCCTTTCCAATTTGTCAGTGGCACACAACCGCCTATTCCAGAGTTACATACTGCAGAAAGAGCAGAGTTTACAGGAAAAAAGCTTCCCAGCACAGATGCACAAGCTTCCTTGGGCCTCAAAGACATCCCATTATAAGAAAGGGATGAGCTGCACTGCCAGTAGAAGCAGTTCCTAAGTACCAAGAAAAAATGCTGGCCCCACAGCTCAGATTAACAGCAGCCTGGTTTCCTAAAATAGGCTGGTTAGGCTGCAGCTGTATTAATACAGTAAACAGTGCCAGACTCCATTTCTGGGCACCAGATTTCTGACCATACACATCTGAAGTGTTAGAATGATTTCCAGTACTGTTTTGGCAGTTATGTCTAAATAGCTCCATGTAGGTACTTGGGATGCATTCAGTAGATCTTGGAGGAAAACAGTTTAATGTCATGAACACAGGCTCTGCAGTTGGCCTAAGCACTAGAGACCAGTCACAGGTACATTTAATTCACTACTGAAAATGTGGCCCAAGAATCCTGGATAGCTGCATCAGAGCCGTGGGCAATCAGTCCCAACCTAACATTCTTACTTGACTGATTAAGAGAACACAAATGTTCTTCACAGTAGGCAAATGTCACATAAACCTTAACTGAAAGAGGGCAGATTTAGATCAGATACAAGTAAGATCTTTACTGTGAGGGTGGCGAGACATTGGCACAGGTTGCCCAGAATATCTGTAGATGTCACGTCCCTGGCAGTGTTCAAGGCCAGGTGGGATGGGGCTTTGAGCAACCTGGCCTACTGGAAAGTGTCCCTGCCCATGGCAGGAGGTTGGAACCAGAGGAGCTTTAAGGTCCCTTCCAACACAAACCATTCTGTGATCCTATGATTAGTGCTCCAGCCACATAAGACCACGAGCAGCTGGTCTGAACTCCAAACAGACTAATTAACTGAAAGAGTATGACACCTCTCAATGCCTCCAAAGACCTGTTCAGAGAATCCACCTAAACTATTGAGACACCTGATGTCAGTCAACAGAAAACGTGTCATACAGACTTGCAAGGCATTCAGATCCTGAGTACAGCTTTTAATGTCTTCTTCAGGGCTGCGTAAGTGTGCTTTTCTAACTTCATGGGGTTGCTCAAACATGATAGGATGAACATCAGTTCCTCACTTCATGCTCATCAAACATGAATATCAGTTTCTGAAACACTGGAATACTTGGAATTAAAAAGGACACAAGCATACTGTTTTACACATATATGACAAAAAAAGATTTAGACAAATACTTGCAGGCTTACTTTGAGAGCATCATGAAAGACTGGCACACCTGGATGGTATGTGCAGGATCCTAGAACGAAATTGCTATTATTAATATTCAGGCATACCACGAATCTTTATTCATCCCATCACAAACTCAACAAAAATTTCACACTGCAATTCCCATATGCCACAAGCTGTCCCACTTCCCCAAGTACACATAATTATTAAAGAATACACAGACTCCACAGAACAAGCGCTCTGAGTGTGTTAAACCTAAATAATCAAGATTTTTTTTCTTTTGTACTATACAACACAAAACAGAAGGCAGGCATCTAAGACAAAATTCTATTTCAACATGGAGCAAATAAACTTTCTGTGGACCATCCCTTGCCTCCGTCAACAATCAGTTCTTACTGGCCATTCAGTGGAAGTAAAATTGGCCCTGTGGCCATCTGAAAGACATAAAATACCAGTTTACCACCAAATACATCTATTTGCACCTGATCAACGGTTTCTATCCAGAAGCACTGTTAAAAACAGCTCTTGACACAAATCCATCATTTTATCCATGATAAGGAGCTTGTTCTTTTTTCACTGTCTGTAGTATCCTAGGTCACTTTAGGACATGAAGCCAAATGCTGATCTTCCACATACACAATTTAGACATGTCAATACTAATAATTAGTAGGTTCTGTAGAAACACCACACTGAAACATAGCTTCCATTAATGGAACTGCTTATGTTGCAACTATTCTTTGTTTTTTTACTTCAGGTCTTTTTTTCAAAGGCAATATAATTGCTCCGATATAACTTCTCTTTGACATATACTGCACGGATAATATTTTAATGACCTGACTCTAAAGTGATGGGAAATATCTGTTGTCTTTTTAGGCAGTAAAGCAAAATTTTTCTTGTTAGAAACAGTTAAAAGCAACAGAAATAGTAACAGTTTTTATAATAAGCATCCATAAACCGGAGTGAAAAATAAAATAATACACATAATAGGAAGCAAAAGATAAAAGTGTTAAGCAATTTTAGTAGTAATTTGCCTACAGATATTAAATGGCAAAGAAAAAACAACCAAGTTTTGCAGTTTTCTTTTCATAAAAGTGTACATTTTTAAGAAATTTTGCTTAGTTTAATTTCCTTTGATTTTACATTCCCTGCTTAACCCTAAGGTACTAGGTCTGACAGGCATCAGTTCCCACCTTAACTCAAAAGGTGGGTATTTTGAGACATCCATGAACTTTTACCAATTCCTTTAGCTTCAGGACACAAAGCTAATGTTGGTAAACCTCACAGGAATATAAAACAAGATGTGGCTATTTTGTAAAAAGAGCCCGCAACTTCACTTCTAAACTAAATTAAAACAAAAATAGAGGTTATTTTGCAAAATATAAAACCATGTCATCACAAGAATCATGGTGGTAAAACATCCCATCGACCCTGAAGTTTAGGGATGCTGAAAGTTATAATCACTTTACTTCTGTAGGAAATTTAAACCTGGTTCTCCGAAGTTATCTGGGAATAACTACATTTACATTCAGAACTGGTTAGGCTAGGGAACAGTAATTCCAATAAGTGTCCAGTTACTCACCAGAATAAACTTCTCAAGAAGCTGTTTCTCCCAAGCCAAGCAACAGAGCTAGCAGAGGGGCAGGCCAACCACATCAGCCCACTACAACTTGGTCACAAACACAGGAATACAGGGCGAAGAACTGTTGTTTTAATAACAACACTGGTCACGAAGTCCCAGTGCGAATTTGTAATACAAAACTCACTATCTACTTTGTCTTTTGGAGCAAAGGGATGCAGGTCATAGAAGTGATCACTAAATGGAATCACTCCACAACTGCGATTTTCAGCTGCCTGCTTTTCAAGTTACTAACATTAGTGAGTCTTACTCAAAATGCTGCCCCTCTCTTTGGCAATACTTAGCTCAGAAAAAGAAATACACTTTATGCCATGTTTCTTAATCACAGAACTCACATACATGCTAGAACATGTTAGCCTACTTCTAATCTTTCGGGTCTCTGCAAATAAGGCTAATGCAAAGAGGACATTCTAGCAATGCAGCCAAAAGAGTTGCTTTACTAATCACTTGAGAGCAAGCCTACCGAAAACTCAGATCACCCCTTCTGCAACCTCTGTGGAATTATGAAAACTAAAATAACAGCACTGTGAAAACTCTGCACAGGCTATTGGGAGACAGGCTTATAATGCTGTCTTTACATTAAGGTCACTGCATGCAAATGGAAAGAACATATAAAGAGGAGAAAAAAAATGTTTGATCTTTTTTTACCTCCCTTCCCCCCACCCCCATATTAAATATAAGAAGTTCTTCCCTGCGAGGGCGCTGAAGCGCTGGCACAGGTTACCCAGAGAAGCTGTGGCTGCCCCATCCACGGCAGGGTTCAAGGCCGAGCTGGACAGGGCTTGGGGCAACCTGGTCTACTGGAAGGTGTCCCTGCCAGTGGCAGGGGGGTGGAACTGGATGAGCTTTAAGGTCCATTCCGACCCAAACCATTCTATGCTTCACCAGGTGTTTGATTCACAGTACACATAGGGGAAGCACTGCAAGAGCTCACAGCACTTGGGAAAGCAGACATACACATATCGTAAGACACATTTAATTACCAGTTTCTAGTCCACATACTACAACTAAAACAACAGGCGCTGATAACTGCTATGTATGCAACGCCCTCAGAAGAAACACGTCTGTTCCTCAAGGCATCCAGTTTCTACCTTTAGAACAGATGACAGTAACGTACGGAGCAGGTCCTTATTACCTCCTTCGCTCATTCTGCTGTGAAAACTTTTGTTATTACACAAGAACCCCGCAGTCAGGCCGACCGCCAGCTCCACGTTTCCGCACCGACGGGACACTTTCGTGCCCGGGCAGGATCCGCTGTGCAGGGGCCGCAAAGCCTGTAACAGAGCAGCCCGCAGCATCGCTTCACCACACCGGACCGCTCCTCCACCCCTAAAGACACTGAGACCACCACACAAAAACAGGAGCTTCTCAGGGAGAAGTAAGTCGAGGCCAGACCGGTGCCGTAAGAGATGGGGACCGCGGGAGGGACACGGACACACCACACAGCCTGCAGGCCAGGGCTGCCCCTGCCCCTCAGTGCTGCTGTCCGTCCCTCAGAGACCTCAATGACAGCTCCCAGCGCCGCACCGCGACGTGGCTCCACCGGCCGGGGAGGACACCGGGCGCGGGTGCCTCAGGTCGCCCCTCATACCTCCCGTGCAGAGCTCTCGTAACCCCTCTGAGATGCCGCCCCTCACACCCCCAGGCCGAAAGCTGTTTGCGGAGCACTTAAGGATGTACCCCGCGCTCCCCCTTCCCCTCTGCCGCCGCTCTCACCTTCCGTGTTGGTTTCGGGGTCGAAGCGCTGGCCGCAGCCCCGGTTGTAGCACAGCAACGACATGGCGGCGGGGCGGCCGGCAAGCCGCCCGTAACAACGGGGACTAAGGAGGCTGCAGGAGGGCAGCACCCGGGGGTGGGCCGGCCCCTCAGCGGAAAGAGTCGGCCGGAGCCTTCCGGAAGCTTCACGAAGCTTCGGGGTAAGGGGAGAGCGGCAGCGCGGGCGGCTGGAGCGAGAGGAGGAGAAGGAGGGGGATGAGGAGCCGCGGCACGGAGCGCATGCGCGGGAGGGAAAGGAGTGCGGCGCATGCGCGGTGGGACGGGATTATGCGGGACGGTGGGGAAAGGGTGGTGGTTGGGAGGGAGTTGTGCATGGTCGGGTAGGTTGTGTGGCCCCAGGTCCCGTGGCAAGGCAGGTTCCGAGCTCGGAGGAACTCCCTGGGGAGCCTTTCAGCTGCAGCAGGAGGGGGCTGATTGCCGCCGGCACCAGCAGTGATCCCCGGACACGGGGGCCTGTTGTGATGGGCCGGGCCGGCCTCCCCCTCAGGGTCTCATCCGGTGGCTGGGCCAGGGAGGAGCTGAGGGAGGCTGGGCACTGCTGGCTACAGCTTGCTGGGCTGTGGAAGCGCTGTGCTCTTCGGTTTGGGGTCATCAGGAGCCGGCGAGCCCGCCCGCCTTTCGCTGGTGCTGGGCTGGTGCGGGGGTGCTTAGCCTTCGGCCGGTTTCCGACTTTTTGTGGGGAATGTAGGTTGTCTAAATCAGTTAAAGAAATACGTGGCTAAATAAAAAGAGGGTAATTAAAAACTCGATGCTTACATTCTGAATATCAATGGTACATGTGAGTGTAATTTAACCCCCCCTTTTGCATATGTATTAAAAGAGTTGTCTCGTTCTCACAGAAGCAAAGTTACTAACGTTACAAATGACTCTGAAAAAGATCATGTTTCAATGTTCACACAGTTCCCTTGAGGTTGCCCTGGGTGCTCCTGTCAGCTGACCAGCTTACGTGTCCTCTGTAGTGTGCCAGCTTCTTTGATGTCTCATAATGGGTTGTACGTAATAATTACGGTGATCTATGTTTCTGCAGGCAAATACAAATTGATTTCAGCTAATTAAGTGTCTACCGCACAATTTTTAAACTAGGAGTGCTGAAGTGTTCATATGACATATGACAAATCCTGAAGCACTTGTGCATAGAATGAGAAGGTTAACTGATCTCTACAAGTGTTTCTTTAAAGGATATTTAAGGATGCAAAAAGGGTAATTGCATACTGTTTCCAACAGTCTTCTGCAGACTTACAAGTTTATGTGAGATATGCTTCACTTGCTTCATTATTTATATACCTTACGTAAAGACACAGGTTTAGTTGAGCTATCAAATACTAAGTTCTTGCTTCTGATCTGAATCTCCCTCTGGGGCCTGGGGCCTGTGGTAAGACTGGGAGAATAAGCTGCTCAGTTTCAAGTAGAAAAAAACACACTGTTTTGCTGCTTGCCAGGAGTGGTTTAATGTATAAATGCATGTTGTGATAACAAGAAAGAAAGGGAAGTAGTAAAATTGTTCTCCTTTTTATTTAGAAAACATTTCTGTTTGTGGATGTCTTATGAAGCAAGAAGATTAATGGAAATATTGCATAATTCAAAGTAGTTGTATTCACATTGTTACCATAGTGCGAAGACTTGTTCCTAAAACAAGAAAGTCACTTACTTGCTGTCAAGTGAAAATGACAGATAAGAATAGAAGTCTGATTTATATCTATAAAATAAGTTAAGTGCTATTCCTGGGACTGTGGTTGCATTTCATCTGTAGTGAGCAAGCATGCTTCCATTTTAGAAGGAGCCAGCCATTTTTGGCTTTGTGGAATGCAAACAAGTTGCACTTCTGCAGAGGCAGCATCAATTTCTGTTTTAATAATATTATATGTAAAATTAAAACCTCTTTATTTTACCAGCATGATACTTATGGGCTTAAAAAGTAGCATTCCTATGACCTTAGTGGACAGTTGGTTCAAACACAGTGAAAACTTTTGGGGAGAAAATATTAAAAACCATATAGTTTCCCAAAAGTGTCATGTGGTGCTGTTCCATACCTAGTTGCTATCTCACTGATACAGAGACATGCCTTTAGATCTTCCAGAAACCAATCCATCATGCAGGTATGTGTTTCATAGTTCAAAATTATGTAGTTTATCACATTAAAGGAAACCTGAAAACTCAATTTGTTACTAATTTTAACATACAGTCAGTTACCTGAAATTTACCAAGCTGTATCTGTCATCTTTGTAGGTGATGTTAAGTGGAATGAGGATTTTGTTTTGCAGAACAGTGTACAAGCAAATGGTAGTTTGTAATTGAGGCTTTTGAAATCACATCTATTCTGCATGCAAAAAGCACTACAGTACACAAGAGTCATCTCACAGCAGTCTGCAGAGCTTCAAAAGGCAGTTCCTTCCTGATAGGCAGGTGTAAGACATTTCCAACTGAGTTTTGAAAATGTGGGGAGTGCCTTGTTCAAATAAGAGGTAATCAGCTTCTTGTGTGCATAATAGGTATTTAAGCCTCATATTCCTGTATGTTTTGTGTAGAGACCTCTCTTTTTAACTGGGATTCACAATGATAAGGAACAACTATCTAATGGTTGATCACTGGATGTTAGGTTACTACTTACTTAATTTTGGATGAGTTTTGTTGTTCATTTTCAATTTTAAAGTCTTATAGAATGTTAGACAGACTTTTATGGTGTCTTTAAGAACTGGATCTTGTCTTTAGTGTTCTGAGATAATCTTATCTGAGAAATAATAAAAGATTTATGTGTAACTTTTTTATTAGTATTTTTATGGAAGCATAGAATGGTTTGGGTTGGAAGAGACCTTAAGATCATCCACTTCCAACCCCCTGCCACGGGCAGGGACACCTTCCAGTAGACCAGTTTGTTCCAAGGTCCATCCAACCCAGCCTTGAGCACTGCCATGGATGGGGCAGCCACAGCTTCTCTAAGCACCTTGTGCCAGTGCCTCAGCGCCTTCATAATAAATAATTTTATTTACACATGTTCTATTTTTCTCACATTAGAAAAGGAATGCACTTAGAAAAGGAATGGAAGTAGTGTTCTACAACAGATAGACATAAGCAGGAGAATGTATTGCTGCTCTGGACATGTATGTTTGCTTTTGGATACACTGAGTGAGTTTGTGGGAAATAATCTGGCAGTGCCAGTCATACTGATGGTAAGAACACGGGCTTTTTCCTGATCATAGGTGATTACAAAAGGTCAGAAATATTCTGATCAAGAGAATTTTGAAGTAATTCTAGAGAAGGTTAAGCCTTGATCATGGTTTGTATAATTCCATGGGAAACTGCTATTTTTAATAGAAGGTCACTGGGCCTAGCAGAAATGCATAGGGGAAATCAGTGGCTGGAAAGGGAAGCTGCGCATCTGCAGTCCAGAAATTGAACAATCATAGAATAGTTAGGGTTGGAAAGGACCTTAAGATCATCTAGTTCCAACCCCCCTGCCATGGGCAGGGACACCTCACACTAAATCATGCCACGCAAGGCTCTGTCCAACCTGGCCTTGAACACCGCCAGGGATGGAGCATTCATAGCTTCCCTGGGCAACCCATTCCAGTGTCTCACCACCCTTACAGGAAAGAATTTCTTCCTTATATCCAGTCTAAACTTCCCCTGTTTAAGTTTTAACCCATTACCCCTTGTCCTGTCACTACAGTCCCCAATGAAGAGTCCCCACCCCGGCATCCTTATAGGCCCCCTTCAGATACTGTAAGGCTGCTATAAGGTCTCCACACAGCCTTCTCTCCTCCAGGCTGAACAGCCCCAACTTTCTCAGCCTATCTTCATACAGGAGGTGCTCCAGTCCCCTGATCATCCTTGTGGCCTCCTCTGGGCTTGTTCCAACAGTTCCATGCCTTTTTATGTTGAGGACACCAGAACTGCACACAGTACTCCTAGAGAGGTCAGATCTGCTTTCTTAATTGTAGTGATGATTTATGGAATTACTGTTCCATTGCTGGAAGTTTTAAAATGATGATTGGTTTTGTATGGTATCTGTAGGCCTTACGTGTTCATCTGTGTATACATGTATACGTATGTGGATATATATAGACATACGTATATATAAAACATTGTCTTTCAAGCACAGACAATATATCTGAAGCAGGAATCGCACCAGGAAATTCCTGTGTCTTGTTATTCTTGGGGTCAAATTAGATGATCAGACAGTGAAAATGAGTTTCTCTTGTGGTGAATTAGCTCAATTTCTTTTCTCAAGGAAAATCCTTTTTAATTTGAGATTCATTACCCGCAGTCTGGACCAGAAGATTGAGGTGTCACAGCAACACATTCACTGTGTCAGTATTTTTGTTCTCTTTCGAACTCCTCTCTGCTTTCCCCAGAGTGCTAGTTGGACAGATTGGGATAGTACAACCAGGAATGTGTGTTGCCTTCTAATGCACAGAGCTGCTGTCAGTCCTGTGGTCTTGAGAACCCATGGTAAATGTTTGCTTATTACACCTGGAGATGATCACGATCATGTGAAGCTGTCTCATTCTCTACAGCTGTGTACTGTGAGATAATTATGCATTGTGTTATCATTAACATTTATGTACCTAAAAACAATAGATCAGTACTTCAAAGACTTGTTATGGAGGTTTTCAGTTCAAGGCACTCTGTACTATGTAGGAAGCCTTTACCCAGAACTGTATTTGCTGCTTTGGACCAAATAGGTAGGTGAAATAAGCAGATTGTGATGTTGAAGTGTGACAAAGGATAGATTGCATGGCAATTCTTTGTCACAAACAGCTTTAGGCAGGCAGAAGCAGTGTCTTTGTTGTGTTTTAACCTTGAAAATATATTATCAGACTTGGAATGTCTAAGTAATGTTATTTTCTATTGGCTCTCACAGCTGAGTAGCATGTCAGTGCACCCTTCAGTGCTTTCTGTGTGAGCCATCCTAGATTTCTACCAGTCAAAAGTCATCCCATCTTGTGCATGGTTCATGGAACTTAGACGTGAGATAGTCATGAATTTCTGAGCATTTGAAATAGTAAGGTTTCATTGTAAACCCAGAATCTGTAAAGAAACAGCATGTTTCAGTTCACTTCTCAAACTGCAGGATCTGCTGGTTTGCTTAGCAGTTTGTTTG